ATTCGTCTTCCTTCTAGGTTCATTGCCTTTTTTGGTTGAGGTTAAACATCGCCATGTTTTCAAATATCGCGATGTACGTCACGTTCTCTCCCCTCTTACCTAGTAATCGCTTCCTCTACCTATTGTTTACAACACGCTTACAAAGAAAAAATATCCCACCCCTCTACTTGAGACATAAAATACAAAAGTGTATTGTGCCTTGTCGTCACAGGAAACAAAAACGGTGGCGTCTAATGTTGTTAACCCTTGTCTTCCTAAATTATTTTTTAACTTGTTAAAGAAATTGACTGTTTAGTTAAGGATTCTGACGCGAATTTTTTCACAAGGGACGATACTCGTGGATGTAAACAAGGGTGTTCTAATTTTAGAACAGTTGTCTTTCCTCTCGTTTCTCTATTAGGGAAGACACGCGACACGACTTTTAAAATGTAAACAAGCGAGCACGAGGTGCACTTAAAATAAACCCCGCTGCGAAAATGACAACGGCATGGTGACACTTTTTGGAAAACACGCTTTCATATAAATAAAATAAGGATCGCTTTTGTTGTCACCATGATAATGTATACCTATAAGTTCTCTCCGCCTTTACCGACCTAGTATGAATTTCGCGCGCGCGCGCATGTGTGTGTGTGTGTGTGTACATGTATCTCAATTTCAAACAAATAATAAATTAAAATAATTAAAATTTAAAAAATTAAACTAATTAAAAAATCAACCACCTTACCACCACCACCACCACCACCACCACCACCACCACCTTACCACCACCTTACCACCACCTTACCACCACCCGCTTGGTAACATCTGTCGCCACACTTAACGGTAGCTTTGCGGTTAACTACTTAGCTCTTTCGATTAAACGCGCGGTGCAAATTTAAAAGTTATATTACAACCCTTTTCGGCGTCAGCGAATCGTCAATATATTAATGATCGTATTATATTACGTTTAACACTTCAAATTATTGGAACTAATTATAAAAGATTATTTCAAGATGTCTAATGAAGATTGGATACTTGTGGCCAGAGGTAACAATAAAGTGACGGAAATACGAACGATGAATCACACCGGATTTAAATTGGCGATTGTCAGCCAATTCATGAACAAAAACACTTTAAATCTTAGAGAGCTTATAGATGGGACCGATCTTAATTTTCCTACAAATTCTGGTGTTAGTATGAGTCGCGTCTGCTTTGAGCGCCTATTAAGTTTACAGGATGAAATTTTAAAAGCCTTTGATGAATTGGAAAAACGTTAATAAACAAATAAAATATAAGAAGACTTTTGTTCTAATTTAGTGTGTGTGTGTGTGTGTGTGTGTGTATATACGTGTAGCATACGCGTACTAGAAAACCAACAAGGTAATGTCCGGTTGCTCAACCTAATTACACCACCAGCTGTCGCACAACAGCTGTTGCATAATGGCCTACGTACTTCGTGGAGCTAACAAAGCGATCGGTAAAATCGATTAACGTGGTAACAGATGTTCCCACACTTAACGCTGGCTTTGCGGTTAATCACTTAGCTCTTTCGATTAAATGCGGGACCCCTGCAGTGTTCGCTTAGGCGAACAACACATAAATCATCATGACCTATCACATCGAGCGGGGAAACTCGGTGAAGCATAACAAAATTTAATTAGGTGGACCATCATACTGATGGTCAGTGGGTGCGATCAATATTAACGCGCCCGTTGTCCAGTGTTTGACAAGAACAAAGGATCGCGGATCGCTATGTAACAGCTGTGGCTGATCGTTATCTTTAATGAATGTTCTATGTTTGTATACTTTAGCGTTGTGGTGGCGAATTTAACCTGTTTTTTGTGCACGGTTGTTGGGTTGGAGAATATAAAAATTAAAATTACGTAACTCGTTAATAAAAATTACACAATATAAACAAAGTAATTAAATTAAATAACAAGTAAACAAACAAAATAAACAAACAAAATACAAAGTAATTAAAATCAATTAAAATTTAAAATTAAAATTTAAAAATTTAAAAAATTAAAATCCAATTACGTAACTAGTCAATAAAAAAATTACACAATATAAATAAAGTAATTAAATTAAACAACAAGTAAACAAACAAATTAAACAAATAAAAATACAATCAAAGTAATTAAATTACGTAACTCGATAATAAAAATTAATTAAAATTTAAAAATTAAATTCAAACTCATTAAAAAACGCATTAAATTACGTAACTCGTTAATAAAATTAATTAAAAATTTAAAAATTAAATTCAAACTAATTAAAAAACACATTAAAATTACGTAACTAGGTCAAAAATTAATTAAAATCAAATTAATTAAATTCAAACTAATTAAAAAACTCGTTAAAATTACGTAACTAGGTCAATGATTAAGTAACGAGGTCAATGATTACGTCATAATGTTACTAATTACGTCACAAGGTCACCGGTGGTGACCTACTGACCTACTCCGCATCCGCATCACCCACCCTAGGGTGGGTGAGTATTTTACTATATCTCATTGTTCCTGCGGCTCACCCACCCTCACCCACCTTCACCCAGGTGGGTGAGTATTTTACTATATGTCATTGTTCCTGCGGCTCACCCACCCTCACCCAGGTGGGTGAGTATTTTACTATATGTCGGTGTACCTCCGCATCACCCAGGGAGTATTTTACTATATCCCGTTGTTCCTGCGGATCACCCACCTCACCCTGGTGGGTGAGTATTTTGCTATATGTCATTGTTCCTGCGGCTCACCCAGGCAGGGAGTATTTTCCTATATAGCCTTTGTTCCGCATCCGCATCCGCATCCGCATCCTGCTCACCCATACTACCCAAAAGTGACCTAATATACTACTAGTGAGGGTATGCACTTTTAGTCTTCTGTCTCAACGGGTTAAAAGCCAGGGTACTTTCAAAATCCACTTTGTTAGTTGGTACTTTAAGGACAGGTACCCCGATAGTGTACTTGTTAAATAGTGCGGGTTTGCTGTGCTTGATTAGAACATTCTTTGAGAGTGTCTTCTAGTATTGTGTATTCAATAACAGATGGCTTGTTTTAGAACGAACTTACAATGTAATTTATTGAGCGGTGCACTTACTAATTAGTATATTACAATAATTACTTATGATATATTTTTAAACTGTTTATACGTGTAGGCTGTTGTTATATTGCAAATTAGAAATGATGATAATAACACACTTGCGATAAAAATAAAACACAATATTGCAACAACAAAAAAGACAGAATTAGAATATAAGAAAGTATTGGACCCATTGAGACGAACATTTGACAGGAGCTTCAATAAAGAAAAGTTTACAGAACTTTACCCAGAAGTGGAAGACTTTACCTAGTCTAGGACTGTAAGACTTTACCTAGTCTAGGACTGGTAGACTTTACCTAGTCTAGGACTGGAAGACTTTACCTAGTCTAGGACTGGAAGACTTTACCTGGGATCGGTGGACATTTACATTTAAAAACAAACCAACCAACGGTTGTTTCCTTTAACACCCCCCCTACTGATATTTTATTTCAACTCATTCAAATTATATGTATAGATTTACATGTATTACCTTCTATACAAGTTTTACACAAATTTAGAAACGAAATTATCGTCCACACATATTCAGAACACCCCCTGATAATGAAACTCTAGTTAAATAATTCATTCCAGAACTATCGAATCCAGTAAATCTGACCTAGCTAAATCCTCCACCCACCCCACCCCTTTAGGGTAGGTAGGTTAAAGACAACAACGTTTTTTTGTAAAACGATTTTTTTTCGTTTTGACTCCACCACCCACTTTTAAAGCAGCAAAAACAATGCACTTTACTTTCCCTCGAGGCATTTCTTTCTTTTTCCGCGAAGAACAAGTTTTGTTACGTTGGGTGCTGATTCTTTTTTTTAAAAGCAAATAAATAAAACAAAAAGTTTTTCTACGTCTCAGCTTCAAAGTATTTTTTGTCTATCTGAACCTAAAACGTCAGTGTGATACGGAGGGGGGAAAGGGTAAAAGCTGTTACAGTTGAAATCGTGTGTGTGTGGGGGGGGGGGGGAGACGAACTGGCGCATATAGCCTCTGTGTGGTACCTGTCTAACTAGCAAAGAGCTAATCTTTTTTTTTTTTTTGGGGGGGGGAGGGGGGGGGAACGGAAAGATTACTTTTAAAAAGTAATAGAAAATTGTTTTTTTTCTCTCTCTATCTGCTTACAAATGGTATCCGTAGAGTCGCGGGCTTGTAATTCTTTCTGACAGAGCTATTTTTAGCCTTAGAAGTACTCAGCTACGTGTGTTTTCATAAATATTACAGCAATTTGTCTTGTTTGCTTCGTAAAATGTTAACCTATTTTAATGCTGGAATTACGTGCGGGGTGCCATTTGAAACGGGTGGAGATTTCCTTTAAATTAGACATGTAATTTCGTAAATATTTTCATCTGCGTCATGATCCAAGCTTGTTTTTATGTATACTAAATTTAATGCGCTAATTAATTAACAATGGCTTTTATTATTTTATTTGATCTTAATGTTTATACCACAAAAATTTGCTTTAGCTAGAAAGTTTGCATTCAAATTATTTAAAAGGAAAAAGTAAAACTTAATATAGATCCATATCTATTAACGTCTAATTGACTTATTAACAAACTGAGTTTTTGAATATTTCAAATACCTATGTATTTATATATATATATATATATATATATATATATATATATATATATATATATATATATATATATATATATATATATATATATATATATAAAGATATATATATATATATATATAAAGATATATATATATATATATATATATATATATATATATATAAAGATATATATATATATATATATATATATATATATATATATATATATATATATATATATATATATATATATATATATATATATATATATATATATATATATAAGGCCTGTGTATGTACATGCGTGGTGTGTGTATGTATGTGTTTATATAACCTTCCTTCAATCGCTATAACTAATTGACTGCCTATTTGTGTCTTTCAGTATTACGACATGGGGACTGGCAAGAATTACACACCCTCATCCTCCTACGGAGCTTCCTCTCGTGCGTACACCCCCTCCTCCTCCCGGCCCTCCTACACACGGACGGCCAGCTACGACCCACCCAAGTACAGGTCCGCTTCGAGCGTCAGCGACACGATTAAAAAATTCGGCGCCTCGGACCCCAAGTACTCATCCACAGGTTATGCCGCAGACAGGTACCAATCCTCGGCCGACAAGTATCCCAGTCTGGACAGGTACTCCAGCAGGAGTGGGTACATGTCCGACTACGGGGGTGGGAGTCCCTACGGCTCGTGGGACAGGGCTTCTACGAGAAGCTCAAACAGCCGATACGGCGGCGGAAGTCGCGAGGCGTCGCCAGTGAGCACACGGTCCTCGCGATATGATTACAGCAGCAGCGCCTCTGGACCCTACTCGACCTACTCCTCCTACAAAAGCGGCTCCGACGCCTCGCCGGTTCCTAAGCCGCCGGCCCGAAGTTACGAGCGCCAATCCTCCCGCGGTTACGAAGCGCCGGCTAACGACACAAAGGCATCCGTGAGCGGAGGTGGGAGCACAGGTGCGGCGAGGGTTCCAGGATTACCTGTGGGCAGGCAGGAAGCCAGCAGCAAGCGGGGCAGGCGGGGGGTGTCCGTGAGCAGTGAGTCAGACGACAGTGCGCCTGAGGCCGAGAAGCGGGACCAGACCGTGCGGTACCTCATTTGCCGGGGGACGTCTCCGATACCTGAAGGCGAGCCCAAGGAACCCAAGGTGAAGGACAAGGCTAGTATTTCGAGGACCAGACGCATTAAAGTTCCGGACAAAAGTCCGATTCGTATTGACAAACTCGGTTCGAAGAAAGGAAATACAGAGAAAGGAACCGTCGATTGCGCAACTCAGACAAACTTGGATCAACCACAGGCCAGACGACAGCGCACCTCGTCCAACTCAAGTTTCGCGCCAAGCGGGGGTGCAGGAGGCGGAGGGTCTGGCAGCACGAGTCAACCAGGCGAGACGTTCTACAAGTACAGGGACAAGGTGCTGGGAGGGCCCGCCCCCACTCATGGCTACGGCAAGGGGAGCGGGCCGTCCACGCCCTCCTACTCCAAGACACCGTCTACGCCAGCGTCTCGCAACAGTTCTCGGTCAACTCTAAAGGACGAGCCGCGGAGGAGCTACGCCGACGAGGGTGTGAGTACTCCTCCCAATGAGCGCTCGTGGAGGCAGTCAGTCTACGGCGAGCCCGCACCGAGAGGTAGCACACGGAGAGAGGAAGACATGGAGGAGGAGGATGAGAACGACACCGATGACCGCAGCAGCCGTCACGGGCGTCGCCGGCGAGAGGGACCACGCACCAGCACGCCGAGCACCCTGAGGGACAGGGAACAAGACCACGGCAGCGCCACGGACGACAAGCGATCTTCACGCAAGTCAAAAGCCTCGAGGTCCAGCTCGCGAGAAGACATGCTTGACGATCGACCCCGCAGGAAGAGACATTCAAGCAAAGAGCTCCTGGACGAGCGTGAACCGGAAGGAGGGGACAAACCCCCTTTGACTCCCGAGACATTGTCACTCAGGGACAGCATCGAGAAGGTTCATCAGTGGAAACAAAATCTCCCGCCGCCGGAGCCGTTATCCCCAGAGAGCCGACACGTCAAGCGTCACCCGGGAGTCGGGGCAGAGAGCCGGGGTGAGGTGTACGAGGAGCTGCCTAGCCGGGCTCGCGTGCCCCGGCAGTACAGCAACCGTGAGGAGTCGCCACCTTTACCCAGAGATGACTCGCCGTCCAGGAAAACCCGTCACAAGGCGTCCCGGCATGCGTCACGACAGAACTCCCACGACAGTATTCTAGACGAGGATGAAGACGACGACCGGGAGCAGAGATTACCCAACAAAGATTTCCGGAAGTCGGAACTCAACAAGGCCGAGCACTTCTACGAGGATCCCGAGGCTTTCGAGCGAGAGTTATCGCCCGGCGAGGCGAGGAGACGACAGAGGAGAAGCGATGGTTTCGATCACCCAGGGGGTCAAAAGATGAAAAAATCCGGCAGCTCGTCCGAAGCGTTTTCGAAAGAAGATTCCCCAAGCCGACACCGTCACAGCGGAATCCAACGCCCAGTAGCAGACGACCACAAGCGTTTGATCCGCGACAACTCCAGAGACAGCCTTCTGGACGAGAGACGCCGCTCCAGGCGCGAGCAGCACGACAACGACATCAGCGACAGCAACGGGTCACAGTTCGGGTTCAACAGGGAGGAGTCGCCCAACAGACGGAACAGCAAGTACAACCGGCACAGCCGGCAAAACTCGCGGGAAGACGTGCTGGACGAACGAGGGCAGAACTCGGCCAGGCAGAGACCAAACCAGCTGGGCGTCAACGCGGACGGAGGGCGAGTACCGCAATCCGTGTCCAACCAGTCTTTGCCGGATATCGTGCCAAGTCCGGACAATGAGTGGGTCGGAAGTCCGGACCAACCGAAACAAAGCAAGCAGTACAAAGGTCAGAGGTCAGGGATGATCGGTGAAGTCGACGACATCGACAGCGTCTTGAATGGAAACCGGAAATCGTTCAAGGGAGGCTACAACATCATGGACGAGCCCGTTCCACACACGTCTCACTACCCTCTGAAGCCGGCACCGGCCTCGCCACTGAGCCCGGGCCAGGACACCGACCGCAAGGCGCGCCCCAACAGCTACGCCTTCGAGAGGGACAAGCGACAGGGCGGGAACAACATGAAGCAGTCCAAGTCCCACGGCGACAAGCTCATCGACATCGACGACGACAACGTCGAGGCGCAGAGATCCGGACAGCTGTCAGCGCCGCCCGCTTCCGGTCAACGTGCACCGCGGCAGCCGTCAGCCACAGCCAAGCAGATGTGGGGCATCCTCCAGAGCAAGAAGGGCCTTGTGACCATCACCGACTTCGTCAGCCTGTGCGAGAAGCCGGCGCCACAGAGGAAGCTCATCACCGTGCCCGGAGCAGACGAGAACGACTTTGCCGGCTACAAGAGCGCTGATGAGCTGCTGGAGAACATGGGCGTGGACGTCAGGAAGGTGAGTACACATTTACATAGACACGCAAAGGTCTTCGTGCTGTTTGTTTACTAACTTTCAGTGTCTACAAATCGTCATAATACTGACTAAAACAGTCTTGGTAACATCATTAGTATTCGTAAATCCAATATATCAACTTTATTTAAGCCTGTGCAATTACCCCTAGATTTTAAACTTAAACCATAGTGAATATTAATGAATAAAAACGTAGATTTTAAAAAGTTACTAAAATATATTTCACTCATAAAATTCCAATTATATATTATTGTCATTATATTTATTTTTGCTCAGTTATAATTCATACCTCCAACCCTAAGTATTCAAATTGCTTGTACTGATCAATCATGCACTGCCTAGATGATATTTTAATCCCAAGGCTTGGAGTAGTGTAAAATTGATGTGTATGCCAGTATGGACTATTGATAAGATTCATTTTTCTTTAAATGGGTCAAATAGATTGAGATCATCTAGGTAAAAATCGAGTTCCTATCTAACTTAATCTAACCTACTCTCGGTTTTAGTTAGATCTTTTCGTAGAATATTTGTAATTATTATATTGTTGCCGATGTAGTTGTTTTTAAATATTATAATTAATTTATGATACTACAAGATATTAGACGTCTTAAATTTACAACTAAAATCACCCACAAAAATATGACTCTAAATATTAGATAAGGGGAGACTACCTAAATATTTTTTTTATTTACTCTATTTGAAATTGTTAATGCCCTTGAATAAGTTTCAGCTAAAATATAAACAGGTGAACTTGTAAACAAAAACCAAGTTTCACATTTAAAATGTAAAGACCTATTAATTATATTTATTTTTTATTCTTCTGGGTTCCAACAAAATAGGTTATAATATTCTTTAAATTGATCACGATAAACAACAATAGAAGTATATGGATATTACAACAAGATTAAATTACAATGTTGCAAAAATAAAGCTTTAGACTTTGATCTAGATCTCTGGTCTGGCATGGGACTGAGTGGTTGTTAACTCTAACAGCCCCGAGTTCGAACCCCGGGCAGATTAGATTAGATAGGGACAACAACCCATCTAAAATGTAATAGAGAAAACTCCAAAGAACAAATCCAGAAAGGAAAGCAGGCTGAAGTCGATGTGAAAGGGACACAATGTAATACTTAAATTGGGCTGGAGGAAATCCCATCCAATATTAGAACTTATAAGAAAAATGGCATCCGGTCACATCCATTGTAAATTGCAGTTTTACCTAAACTGTCAATACTAGAGCTTTAAAAGAAAAGAAAAAGGTTAAATCATGTTTACATGCGGATTGTTTTAAATAGTTGTGCATACATGTACAGAAAATTGAGATTAATTAATACTGCCAGTAGCCTATCTATTTCTTTATATCTTGTTCTACAAGTTTAATTTATGTGGCCTTGGGGTAAATGCATCAATGATTACCAACACGGCGTATTCAGAGCGTGAAAAACCTTATCGGGAAAACGCACCTAATGATGACGAAAGTGTAGGCCTGCGAAAAATTCCAATTATTTAGGCCTACGTACCGAGACATGTTAGTAAATAAACATTTTTTTAATCGCATCAACACACTATATAAGTTTATAAAAACTGATAAAGTAGGCCTATCAATTTATTATCATTTCGCACTTTAGTTCTAAATGTAAACAGTGTGTTCATTTAGCTCTTATGATCTATGTTTAATCGATACATGAAGTCAACAGATCGAATTCACGCTTCATTAAATCACGATTTTCCAAAAGCAATGTAAGCACACAGCGTGACGCATCTAAATAATATTTATTACGCCCCTTGCTAAGTTGAAATATTTCATCGACACGCCTGTTATTAGTTTATTTATTTTGAACTGAATTCTACTTCATTTGATTTTGGTTACTCTTGATAAATTACCAAATAAAAATGATTTAAATCACTATAAGTTTTTTACTGAGTTTCAAGTGCAAATATTTTATAGTTATTCTAGAATAGCTTATTAAAAAAAATTAGCCTAACTTTTTTTTTTTTATAACACACATATCAAGTAGCTTTTAACTCAAATTTTGTTATTAAGTTGGTGAAAATTATATTTATAAAGATAAATCAACTTGCAAATTTTGTTTTGATTAGATATGTTCGTTATTTTTTGAAGTAGCCAAACTTGTATTTCGAAAAACCAAAAATAAAAAGTTACATCAGCACTGGCCTACAGCTGATGTCAATGTGACTCAGACAATAGTTCGGATTTTTTAATATAACAGGTATTTCTGGAGGTGATGTTAGTAAATTCAGCAATAATGGATGACTGAATTTAATACTTCCGTTAATTTTTTATTTCTACGATAGTATTTCCATTTATTGTGAAAATCGGATAAAAATGCTGTTTACTAAAATACTAAGGAAATCCTTTGAGGTTACAAAGATTTCAGTTAGCTTGCTTTGATGAAAGGAACAGTCACTTTCTGAGGTAGCGCAGGAATATTGAGGTCAAAGTTGACAAGTGTCCCTAAGAATCCAAACCATCATGGCGACATTTTCTTGTCGCGTTCAGTTCCTTGATGATAGGGATCCGTTTGCTAATACAAACTTTCCTGAGCCTACCAGACCACCTACATATCCTTTTCTTGATGATGTACCTTTAATTAATCAAATTGCCGGCATTCATCGGTTACTAGAAGCGCCACACCGGGTAAGTTATAAATCGTCTACAGGTGTGTGAACTCGGTAAAGTGAAAGATAATAAATAAAAAAGTTTAAAAATCTGGCTACACCGTCCTAACAATAACAAACAAAAGCGACCCACCCTTTTAGTTTTTTTTTTAAATCAGAAATATAAAATCCTTTAGTTTTAGGCCTAATTAATCTTGAGTCCACTTTGAGTTAGATTAAGCATAAGTTATTTGAAATCTTTATCTAGATCTTGTATTTTATTATGTTTATATTCGTTGTTAGATGGTTAGTTCTAGATCTAGATCTAATCTAGATCTAAGTTAGCTAGGCCTAATCAATAAAAAATATTTTAGCCTAATCCAAATCTAGGATATAGCCAGGCCTAAGGATAAATCTCATAATCTGGGACATATTAAGGTAGATATAGATTAGGAAAAAATATGTATTTGAATAATTACTAGATCTAAATTCTAGTAGATATAAAAAAGGGCTTTAAAATAGAATTGATTTAGTAGAATTTGAATTAGTTAGGCCTAACTAATATTATAATTAGGCCTAATAGACTACTATAGTATAGTTTTATAGTAGTACAGACCATTTATTTAATTTTAAAGTTCAGACGACTAGAGTAGAGAGATTGACTTCCCTGACTTAAAATTAAATTTTAATATTGATGATGGCCTAGGCCCTATTAATAGTTAATAGGCCCTAGGCCTATAGGCCCTATATTATTATTAATTATATAATTACTTCGAGCCTCTAATTTTTTTAATAAAAAAGAAAAAGTAATAACTATTAGGCCTACAGCTAGAATATAGAAGTTTCAAGTATGAAGTATGCTAAATACCAAGTTAGCAGTGTTTCTTTGGGGGTGGGGGGGGGTGGAAGGCGGACTCTGTTAAAAGTATATATTTTCTATATATTTTCCATTTAGTTTGGGGGTGGGGGTCGTAAACTTTCATTCAGAAGGGAGGGGGGGGGGGGGGAGCTAATCTAGCTATTAGATCAAGACTCTAAATATATTTTGAAGTCATTATTTTAGGACTTTAAACACTAATACATGACTAACAAACATTCTAATACTACTCTAAGGTCCTAGACTCGAATTTAAGGTCCTCTGAGGCTAAACAAAATATTGAAATTAATACTTAAGCATGTAGATGAAATATCAGATGTTAAGCCTAATAATGAAAATTAAGCCGAAAAATGTAAAATTATTAGGCTAATAAAAGCTGTTTTTTGCAATCACAATAGACATTAAGAAGACAGCGCAAAATACAATTAATGATTTATAGAATAGTCAACTATTATTAGGCAATAAAAATGCATATAGTATTATGGGCCTACTAATTATTTTTAATAGCACATGCCATTAAAATCAATTAAAAGATAATAATTAAAAGATATAATGAATGCAAAAGTTATCAAGTTAGTGTGACAGTGTTAGGTCTCACATAAGTGAGCAGTAGGTGACATAACTATTGTCTTTTTAATCAACAAGTTGGTTGTCAGTTGATTAGATTTGAAAAGTAATATTTCCTTTTACAAAAGCTATTTGTACTTCATATGTTTACTTTAATTAAACGAAAGTACTGACATCTTATTGCTAACACATCAAAATAGTAATTTTCTGTTTTCTAATAGAAAGACATATTTTAGAATTAAATTTTGTATGTTGTGTTTTTTTTCAGCTTGAAGACTGTGCATTACAGATATATCGTTATCACAGTGGATCTCAAGCAGATTTTGGTACATACCTAGATCTAGAATCTACCTTGGCTGAACAAGCAGATGAATTAGAAGGATTTAGTGATCAGTAAGTTACACATTTTTTTAAGTCAACTGTAACATCTAAATATCAGATTTAATTTACAATAGAACTTTTTGAAAATCTCTTTTGTATAGTTTTAATTGAAAATTTTGAGAAATAAAACCTAACTAGTCTAGTAATATACACATTTGTCAAAAAGCCTTTGCAAGTGAGCATGAAAATATCTTTAAGAAATGCTTATCAGATTTATTTATTTTTGGGAAAGAGTGTAAATACAAATTTAAAGTACAATTCATTATTTTAAAGTACTTAACAATTTGTTTTTCTCATAGATAGTATGGCTAAGGACTGAGGCCCATGTTAAACTTCCATTAAATAATTGCTTAGTGTTATTAATAGTTTACTTGTTACTATAAATATCTATTCAGTTAATATCTAACCAAAAGTATTTCACTGTGACACAAATTTCAAGTTGTTCATGCTTGGCTGGTTGGTATCCTGACAAGCATTCTAACTTGTCTGGAACAGGATGCCATCAGTGATAGCTTTGTCTGCATCAAACTGTTCATACCTCGAACTAAAATAACTTCAGCTGTTCAGACAATTTAGTCTACAGTAGAGTGGAAATATTTTATGTTTATTTTTATTCCACTTCTGTATAAAATTCTGGTTTTTTTTTTTAATCTTTAGTAAAAAAAAAGTACTGATAATTTAATTAATTTTTAAATACTCCAAGAGCTTATAAAACACAGAATTATATTTAAAAATGTTATACTTACCCGTATTTAATGAAATATGTTTTCAAACTGAAGCAAGAATGATGTACAATTTATTCTGTAATTCTAATAGATGTAAATAGAAAAATCAAATGAAGTATTTGACTTTAACACACACTACAGACCTACATCAGCCTTGTTGAAAATGTACTCCTTGCATTATGTGTTTTAAATGTCACAGCCCTGCTCGGCATTTTTTGTGGTTTGATAATTGAAGAAACATGTCAGTAGTCAAATAGCTAAATGGCATTCATTATGAGCCATTAGATAAAATGGGTGCCTTGTACTTGTACTGGCCACTACCTATATAAAGTTGACCTTTCTCATCACTGTCAGGGTTGTCAGGTCATCTCACACTTCTGGGATGTATATCTGTCAAGAGCTGGTTGTTTTTGGGTAGTTTTGTGTGTCTTTTATAATATTTGTCCAATTTGTTTGGTGTGAGTCTTTTAGAGTATGTTTAGTATGTGCTCATTCAATGAGGTATTTAAAGCTGTTAGTGTTATCAATTACAGAATTTTGTTTATAATTCAGTTTTATTATCTTATTTTAAACTTTTATACACACATACACATATATATATAGTACCAACCCTGTAACATTTGAACACCATAATAATATTTTAAGTCAGGGTTTTAAAAAGTGTTACGCCAAAGTTTAAGCTCTAAGGGAGATTATATTGTTCTACTTCTAGCCCCTTATTCACCTGTAGTCACAGGCAGTTTTCTGTTTATGAAATTTGAGGTGGCTAACATGTGTTTGACTTCCCACTGTAATATTCTGTTGATACGGGTTCCACTAGCCCAGTGGTCGGCAACCTTTTGAAGCGGAAGAGCCAAAAGTTACAATTTTCAAAATTTCCCTGGTTTTAAAGAGCCACTAACAATTTTTTATTTCAAATATTTTATTTTTTTATTAAGATTATTAGTATTTGTGCAAGGAGCTGGAGAGCCGCATCTTGATATCAAAAGAGCCGCATGCGGCTCGCGAGCCGCAGGTTGCCGACCCCTGCACTAGCCCATTCCAGATTTTATGGGGTATTAGAGAAATAAAATAAAACATATGAGAGCAGGAAAGACATTTCATGTTTACTTTACAGTTGAATTTGATGATTCAGCTGTTTTAATTTTGCCCTTTATTTTTAAATCTAAAACTCATGTTGTACCCTGGAATATTTTTTTTAAATATTAAGTTAAGAAGTAGGGTACTGTCAATATCCTGGGCAGCTTCATAAGTTCAGATCTTGTTAGGTTGGTCGAAAACCTCAGGGGTAGCAGCAATTACGTCACTCACCCACCTCTGGTAGTCAGGCCAGATATCAAAACGGAAGCCGCTGGAGCAGTTAACTGGTGCTCTATCTGATGCTGGTGACTCAAAAAGATGATTCCAGACCAGGGCATTGATAACCGTGGCTCCCACCACCCCCTGCTCCACGCCCCTTCCCAGTTTCAAGTTTTGAATTTGAGCGCAATACCCTCCGTCCGCCGTGTACGGAAGATAGCCCGGAGGGTTTCAGACACTCCGTGTTATGATAAACCGGTGATACCGTCAAACGTATGACTTCCTGGTCGTCATGGTTACTCATGCTCCAGTTTTTTTTCTATAAGTGTAGAGAATCGTTGAGCTGTGATAGATATTCTTTGGCCAGTCACGGATATGTATCGTGTTGAATTCTGTTGGTGGTGTATCAGTGGTGGTAGGCATCAAGGCAGTACATTGTATTTTTCTTTGATTACATCAAGATTTATTATAGTTCGAATACTGCGTTGATGGTGTTCTGTGAGGATTTTGTTAAATGGTGTGCATAGCTTTTGAGATGGGTTATCTTTTTGTGGAGTGTTGAGAAATCTACGGCTATGTCGCCTGTTGTGTTGTGTCAGTAGATGACACGTGTTGGTGTGTGTCCGCCCTTGTGTCCGCCATGATCCGGCGGTGGAGCCACCAGCTGCCGTCCGTGACGTTTTCCTCCGATGCCATGACCAAGCCTATCCTGGTGCGGCCGCCACTGTCGCGCCCCCACCGCCCCAGGCGCAATCCTAACGTCATATATGAGTGTGAGCAGGAGAATCAGGATAGTGCGGACAGTGGCATTGTCCATGATTCGGACAGTGGCATTGTCCATGATACGGACAATGGCATTGTCTATCATTCGGACAATGTGCTTTCACGGCACAGAGGCTTTGTCCATACCTTTGACCATCATAACGAAAACTATATGCCTCACAACGGTCCGTCGTTGCGAGGAGACAACGTTGGTCAGTCCTCAGACTACCACACACAATGCTCCAACGGTTACATCGGGAATACCCGATATCCCCATCCCCATGAACCAGCCTCACAAAACCAGCAGAGACAGCAATGCTCAGGGGAGACAACGACTGATTACCGTCCTAACCGGAACTCCATTCAGGTTTTGACTTGTAACGGTGCTCGAAGTGCAGACAAGAGCACACGAGTGCCAGAAGCTGAGCAGCCATGTGATACCCGTGTTAGGGACCTGTGTGATGGGGCTAACAACAACATTGACCTAGACATTCCTCTACTCTTTTATTTCAGGAGGAAAAACACGCTGATATTAAGGACACAGTTGACAGTGAGGGTACATGCTATTATAGGTGAGTACTTTAATTTATTTACATATTTGCTAGCAACATGAGGGTCACATATGCCTAGTCCCCCACATAGTTCGTCTGTTTTAATTAGGTTTGTTCTGATGAAGGCCTTAGGTCGAAAGGTCGCTTGTTTCTTGAACTATGTGTTTGTTTTACATGTCTGGCTATAAAGAATTCACAGGTTGGGCTGTGGTTGTCCTCAGTCCGTTTTCTAGCACACATAATGCAAAATTGTACACTGGCTTATAATATTCAGTTTATGTTCTTAGTTTTCTATTATCTTGTTGCTGTTTTTTATTGTGTTTATATTTCTTGGCGAAAATCCTCACCTCCATTCTAATAGGATATCAACACATAAAAACTAAGTCACCGGAAACTGTAAACCACGGAGTAATCTGTCACCGTACCCCCTCCCTTTGTCCACCGGCAGTTGTACTCTATAGGACGGGCTTACAGCTAATACCCTCCCCCCCCCCCCCCTCACATTCTCCCCTTTCTTTGACACGACAAAGCACCGGATAATTTACAGCGCCCAACCAATTAGGACAGCTAGCCCTGACACCTGTCTGTCAGCCTCGCGGCCTTGTGACGTGACAGCCACACGGCCTTGTGACGTGACAACCACACGGCCTTGTGACGTGACTGCCACCCACTGACCGCCCCTACTGGAGGCTCGTCTTGTTTGGGCGCCTTCTAATGTCTACATTGGTTTGTTTGTTAAACCTTTCTTACGCCGGTACCAGCGGATCACAAGGCTCCTACGTGCTGCAGCGCGCACTCTCAATAGTCGCAGTGGGCAGTTTTTAATTATTTAGCATGCGCGCTTTATTATTATAGTCTTGGCGCGCAATCTTGGGTATTCAATAGAAGCAGTGCGTTAATAATAGACTTGCTGCACCATCTTTGTCTTTGAACAGCACCGGTGCAGTAATTATAGTCTTGGTGTGCAATCTTAGTTCTTTGAGAAACTTGTCAACAAAACGCGTTCGCACTAATAACAGTCATAGAGCCTATGACATAGGCCCATAACTCCACTCGTATATTAAACAAGCTCTACGTAATGTTAGACAGCGCTGGTATACTAATAGTGGCCTTCGTACACAATCATTGACAAGCTCATAGACTTTTTATTTCATACGTTGCACGTGTCTGAGACAAAAGTTCCTGGGTCGGATAGATTAGAACTATCTTACATTCCCATGTACTGGTTTTTCCTGATAATATCCTTTAGTCTTTTTTTCTTCTCGGTTATAAATTATGGTAGGAGACCTACTCAAGTGCGTATAAATAGGCCACTTTATGAATACCACTACGGTAGATCGGTGCAATGGTTGTATAGAAGGTTGAATCAGTTTTACAAACGGTTTTCTCCGCTGCGGCTCAAGTGCCTGCTTCAAACGGGCCAGAAGAAAGGCCAGGGGGATTAACCCCGGCACGGCTGTAGAGTTGAATGTAAATGATCTATTGAGGCGGGCCAATTTGTGTTTGGTGCAGCAATTTCTCACCGGCTTGTTGACTATGTTAGGTATCGTCTTGTACGCTATGATTTCTTGATGGTCTGTTGACGTTTCTGTTGGCCGACTGGGGTGTAACGTGGTGGGGCATGGGGCAGTTAGTCATCGTCTGTCTAGAACAGGATCACCCAGTGCCCAGCTGACGTCTGCGGTGATGCGGCACACACGGACTCAGATATCGGATTAACTTAACTACACATGTAGACATGACGTTATATTGGATTAACTAGCTACACACATGTAGACATGGCGTTATATTGGATTAACTAGCTACAAACATATGTAGACATGGCGTTATATTGGATTAACTAACTACACACTCATGTAGACATGGCGTTATATTGGATTAACTAACTACACACACATGTAGACATTGCGTTATATTGGATTAACTAACTGCACATATATGTAGACATTGCGTTATGTAAGGCCCACATATCCCGTCATGTCAACTTGACCACACGATGTAAAGCCCACATATCCCGTCATGTCAACTTGACCACACGATGTAAAGCCCACATATCCCGTCATGTCAACTTGACCACACGATGTAAAGCCCACATATCCCGTCATGTCAACTTGACCACACAATGTAAAGCCCACATATCCCGTCATGTCAACTTGACCACACGATATAAAGCCCACATATCCCGTCATGTCAACTTGACCACACGATGTAAAGCCCACATATCCCGTCATGTCAACTTGACCACACGATGTAAAGCCCACATATCCCGTCATGTCAAATTCTCCACTTGACCACACGATGTAAAGCCCACATATCCCGTCATGTCAACTTCTCCACCTGACCACACGATGTAAAGCCCACATATCCCGTCATGTCAACTTGACCACACGATGTAAAGCCCACATATCCCGTCATGTCAACTTGACCACACGATGTAAAGCCCACATATCCCGTCATGTCAAATTCTCCACTTGACCACACGATGTAAAGCCCACATATCCCGTCATGTCAACTTGACCACACAATGTAAAGCCCACATATCCCGTCATGTCAACTTGACCACACGATGTAAAGCCCACATATCCCGTCATGTCAACTTGACCACACGATGTAAAGCCCACATATGCCGTCATGTCAACTTCACCACACGATGTAAAGCCCACATATCCCGTCATGTCAACTTGACCACACGATGTAAAGCCCACATATGCCGTCATGTCAACTTCACCACACGATGTAAAGCCCACATATCCCGTCATGTCAACTTGACCACACAATGTAAAGCCCACATATCCCGTCATGTCAAATTCTCCACTTGACCACACGATGTAAAGCCCACATATCCCGTCATGTCAACTTGACCACACAATGTAAAGCCCACATATCCCGTCATGTCAAATTCTCCACTTGACCACACGATGTAAAGCCCACATATCCCGTCATGTCATCTTGACCACACGATGTAAAGCCCACATATCCCGTCATGTCAACTTCACCACACGATGTAAAGCCCACATATCCCGTCATGTCAACTTGACCACACAATGTAAAGCCCACATATCCCGTCATGTCAACTTGACCACACGATGTAAAGCCCACATATCCCGTCATGTCAACTTGACCACACGATGTAAAGCCCACATATCCCGTCATGTCAACTTGACCACACGATGTAAAGCCCACATATCCCGTCATGTCAACTTGACCACACGATGTAAAGCCCACATATCCCGTCATGTCAACTTCTCCACCTGACCACACGATGTAAAGCCCACATATCCCGTCATGTCAACTTGACCACACGATGTAAAGCCCACATATCCCGTCATGTCAACTTGACCACATGATGTAAAGCCCACATATCCCGTCATGTTAACTTTACCACATGATGTAAAGCCCACATATCCCGTCATGTCAACTCCTCCACCTGACCACCCGGCCCCTGTCACAGAACACATGGCGCCAATCAGTTCAATACGTTGAGCTAGTCAAGTTTTATTGCTATTATAAAAGGATTATTGCTTGACTTGTATTGCAGATTTAAAATAAGCGTTATTTTAGTCTATGGAAAAACTGTATGTGAAATAAAGCAGATGAACAGTTACTGCAGTATTAACCAATAACCCTCAGTAATTAGCCGAGCTCAACAATAAATACCACAAATTAACCTATTTAACCAACAAGTCCACTAGTTAACCAATAAACCTACAAGTTAGCCGAGTTAACCCATAAACCCACGAGTTAACCTAAAAACCCACGAGTTAACCCAAAAACCCACGAGTTAGCTGCTCCTAGGTATCCCACTATCAGTATTCTCTATCGTTTTTCCACCGCTCCGCCAAAACGTTCCGCTTTATCTGTGTTACTTAAAATAGCATTTATCAAAAGCCGTAAATGTTTCTAACTAGCTGCCAGCCGGCGCAGTTAATTAAGACCAAACGAATGGCTGGAACAAAGTGCATGCGGCTCTAGATTGCCGAGATCACATTCACGTCCAGTGCTTGAAATAGACGGCATACAGTTGGGTATTTCAGCTCACGACCCCACCCACACACCCTGTACGTAGAGCCTTGTTTTTGTTTGATGTATTACGATTGTATTGATTGACACAGCTAGACATTAAGACAGGCTCGACTGGGCGGCCTAACGTATACACGACGTGGGTAGTTCGCTATTTTATTACCAGATTGAGTATGCCTTGCAATAAAATAGTATGTAGGTTCAGTTTAGACCTTGTTTAAAAAAAAAATTTGCTATTTTGAAGAAAAAAAATGTATTTTTTTTTTTTAAATTGACATTTAAAGAAAGAAAAAAAATAAGAAAAAATGTACGTGTACCGTTACCCGCGCCTTGTTACATTCTATGTGGAACATCAACACATCAATTTTAAAGTTTGTAACCGCGCAATTGTTTTTTTGACACCTAAATAATAGCCGTCCCCATTATAGTCTGTTAACAAGCTGAACATAGGTCAGGCACGGGTTTATCTGCAAACAGTCAAAGCTAGCGGCCCGGGTCAATTTGCCTTTATTTTGGCTTTAAATTGTGTCAATTATCTAAATATAGAACGCAATCGTTTGCCGCCCCAGTTATCTAAATTCGCCGTTGACAGAGCACACGAACGGTGTTAGTTTACGTCTGTCTTTGTTTACATTAGTCTGATGGAAATTTGTATTGTGTTGTGTGTTGCCCTGAGATTCCTACTGTGTGACCTGACTGTGTTGTGGACAGTACGACCAGACTTCGTGTTGTTTAGAGTTGCCCAGGCTATATGCTGTGTCTTGTTAACCAAACTTCTTGTGTTGCATCCCTTTAAAATGAGACATTGTGTTGTGTCCCTTTAACCAGAATTTGTTGTGTCCCTTTAACCAGACTTTGTTGTGTCCCTTTAACCAGACTTTGTTGTGTCCCTTTAACCAGACTTTGTTGTGTCCCTTTAATGATACGTTGTGTTGTGTCCCTTTAACCAGAATTTGTTGTGTCCCTTTAACCAGACTTTGTTGTGTCCCTTAAATCAGACTTTTACAGTTGCCAAGATATTATATTGTGTACAACTGTGACAGACAATTATAATTCTACCCCCCCCCCCCCCCCCCCCCCCCCCCCCCCCGCATCCACCAGCATATCCCATAATCCCTGCCTATTTACAATTTAATGTGTTGGTTTTTTGTGTGGATTTTGTTGAACAATGCAATCTGTTCTTTGCTTTTAATCAATGATCTACGCTGTGTCATATGAATAGTAATACTCTATGTGCAGGAGAATGTGTCGTGGTGTGATGGGGATGGTTGGTGTGAACTGCTTGTGGAGGGGTGGGGTGCATCTTCACAGAAGTGGGGGGGGGGGGGTTGGTTAATGCTAACTGGTTGTGGAGGGGTGAGGTGCATCTTCAAAGAAGTGGGGAGGATGGTTGATGCTAACTGGTTGTGGGGAGGAGGAATCTTTGCAGAAGTGTGGGGGGGGGGGGGTGATGCTAACTGGTTGAGGGGAGGAATCTTTGCAGAAGTGTGGGGGAGGGGGGGGGTGATGCTAACTGGTTGTTGGGTGGGGTCATCTTAGTGAAGGTGGGGGGGGGGTAGCTTAATCACAGAGTGCTGGTAGAATAGTGATATCTGTAGACAGTATTTCCTCGGGTAGGAGAGCACAGAATTAAACCAAATCGCTTGTGTTTTAGTTTTTTTTCATAACCCCCAACCTAAATACCTGACTACCAACCTTGACATATCTTGTCTCTGTAACAAGGGCTTAGATCAATAGCCCAGCTATTTGCCTCCACTTACAACATGCTGTTGACACTTGTTTTAAGTGGCAGGTGTGAAGATATCAACAGTCTTATCAGGGACTTGACTGACACCCCCATTGTTGCTCGGTGGTCTAATGATAACATGATTACACTTCCTATTTAAGGGAAACACTAGCAGGAATTCAAAGATCTGATTTAGGTGCCAATGTTAGCAATTTTGTGTGTCTTTTGGCAGATTGTGAACACACCTGTAAATGTAATGGAGAATCATTTCTTGAGACAGTTCTTTTTCATCAAATCATTATCTAACTAGACCCAAGTTGGTACTACCCAATTCTGTCAGCAGCCCACACTGCCATGACTATCCTGTCTATTTTATCCCGAGTCTTATCCCTCACAAGTCTGTCCCACCTCTATCATATCCAGTGTCCTCCACCACACCTCACTGCCCCCACCCCCTGACCCAAAGAGCAGCCAGACAGTGAATATACAATCGGGCTCACTTACATTATATAATATATCACTAGACTCACTCTCAAAGTCTTCGCCACAATTTTTGTATGTAAAATCAAGTACTGAAATAATTTCAGATTGATTTATTAAATCTTTCCTTAACGAAGATTCTAATCTACCTACATGTAATTTAATCTATATTTGAGATATCGATGGCTGCTTGTTCAGATTGTCCATAAAAATTGTATTTATACTTATGCTTTTATTAAAGAGCAACTTAAATATGTATTTTAGCATAGCCAGTTACAATGGATTTTTTTATAGTTGAAACAGCTTAACTTATCTAGTTATAGCCAATATTTTGTACAATAGTACTTTTAGTGCTATTGTCTTCTGGCTATATGCCATGTTATGACTAGAATGAAAGGGAAGGAGATGTAAATGTGTGAAGTAGTTGTTCTTGCTGGTGTTGCTGCCAGTTGAACCTAATGGTGCTTGAGATAAGTGACACCACTTAAGCTTGTTTGTTTGAAGTGCCAACTAGTCAGAAATCAAAAGTGGGGGACTGAGCATAAGTAGTCTCCCCTTGACCTTCAGTTGCTGGGTCAGCACTTGGCTGTCTTGTTCAACCTACATACAATAAATTCATTGATCAGCCATTGTGGTGATACAATCAGTTAGATCACCTTTTGTCTTGAGGCTGTTTGGATCACCTTTTGTCATGAGGTGATACAGCTGTTTATCATTTTTTGTCTTAAAGTGATACAGCTGTTTGGATCACCTTTTATCATGAGGTGATACAGATGTTGATCACCTTTTATCATGAGGTGATACAGATGTTGATCACCTTTTATCATGAGGTGATACAGATGTTTGGATCACCTTTTATCATGAGGTGAAACAGCTGTTTGGATCACCTCTTGTTACTTCATTTAACATGTTATTACATGACATTAAAGTGATTAAAGTGATATAATTTTTTTATCTTCCAGAAAAATTGTTAAACTCCACTGGCAGAGAGCTAAGAAGGGCACTATTTTCTCTCAAACAAATTTTCCAGGTTAGTTTTATCAGCTTTACCATCCACCCTACACAATGTTGTCACACTACGTGACATGTTGTAGGAGTTGTAACAAAAGTTGTTTGGTCACGTCATTGTTTTGTCATGTGTCTTCTCTGACAGGATGACAAAGATCTTGTGCATGAGTTTGTCAACAATGATGGGCTGGACTGTCTCATCAAGGTGGGAACAGAAGCTGATCAGAATTATCAGAACTACATCCTCAGGGGTAAGTTGAGTGTAATACAAGCAGTTTTAAACTGCATCCTTAGGGGTACGTTTATTGTAGTACAAGCAGTAAACTGTATTCTCAGTGGTAAGTTTATTGTGTAAAAGCAGTTTAGAATTGTCTTTTATGACCAGTTGTTAGGATATTGTAGAAGTGCTGTTGTCATTTTTGTTTAACTAGTTGCAAAACATGCTTTCAAATACATGTTTCCCCATCAGCATTGGGACAAGTTATGTTGTACGTGGATGGTATGGAAGGAGTCATACGACACAACGCTACGGTCCAGTGGCTCTACTCTCTCCTGGCATCAAAGGTGACTGGATGTTTCTGTTATTCCTGCTAGTGTCCCTTCTCTTGGCTTACTGAATGACCAAAATACTTGACTGTCAGTTTTAACTCAATTTATGAAATAATTTATTTATTTTTTACCGTTAAACCTGTTTCGTTGGATATAACCTTTATTGGAATAGTCTTAAGAACATTGATTTTACTTTAGTGACCAAATAGAATCAAAATAAAACTTTGATTTGTAATGTTGTTAAAGCTTACCCTTGTTAAAATGTGTTGCGCAGGGTCGGCTGGTTGTGAAGACGGCCCTGAAGTTGCTGCTGGTGTTTGTGGAGTACACAGAGTCCAACACAACCCAGCTGGTCAAGGCCATAAACTCGGTGGACAGCAGGAGGGGGCTTCACCCCTGGACCAACATCATGTCAATACTCAATGAGAAGGATGGGGCTGACTCGGAGCTGCTGGTGTATGCCATGACGCTGGTCAATAAGGTATGACTCCACTAACATTTGTTTTGTAAGAGGCTAGTCAATAAGGTATGACTCCACTAGCATTTGTTTTGTAAGGGGCTGGTCAATAAGGTATGACTCCACTAATGATTGTTTTGTAAGGGGCTGGTCAATAAGGTATGACTCCACTAGTGATTGTTTTGTAAGAGGCTGGTCAATAAGGTATGACTCCACTAGTGTTTGTTTTGTAAGGGGCTAGTCAATTAGGTATGACTCCATAAGCATTTGTTTTGTAAGGGGCTAGTCAATTAGGTATGACTCCATAAGCATTTGTTTTGTAAGGGGCTGGTCAATAAGGTATGACGCCACTAGTGTTTGTTTTGTAAGGAGCTAGTCAATATGGTACGACTCCACTAGCATTTGTTTTGTAAGGGGCTAGTCAATAAGGTATGACGCCACTAGTGTTTGTTTTGTAAGGGGCTGGTCAATAAGGTATGACTCCATTAACATTTGTTTTGTAAGGGGCTAGTCAATAAGGTATGACTCAACTAGCATTTATTTTGTTAAATGCTGGTCAATAAGGTACAACCAACTAGCATTTGTTTTGTTAGATGTTAGTCAATAAGCTAATACTCAACTAGCATTTATTTTGTTAAATGCTGGTCAATAAGGTACAACCAACTAGCGTTTGTTTCGTTAGATGCTGGTCAATAAGATATGATTCCACTAGCATTTGTTTTGTAAGGAGCTAGTCAATAAGGTATAACCAACTAGCATTTGTTTTGTAAGATTCTGATCAATAAGATACAACTCACTAGCATTTGTTTTGTAAGGGGTGCAGGTCAAATAGGTACGACTCAGCATTTGTTTTGTTAGATGCTGGTCAATAAGGTAATACTCAACTAGCATTTATTTTGTTAAATGCTGGTCAATAAGGTACAACCAACTAGCGTTTGTTTTGTAAGATGCTGGTCAATAGGTATGACTACACTAGCATTTGCTTTTTTGAGAGGCTGGTTAATAGGGGAGGGTTCTGTTTTATATTTATTTTAACAAAAGTAGTTTAGTTCAATAACTATGTGTATTAAATACAATAAAAGAATAAAATTATTTAAATTAATTCCAGTTCTCTATGTAAAAAAAGTTAGTTAAAGAAATGGCAATTGTAATTTAGCTCCATGGTTAGCTCATGTATTAATTGCTGGGGCCAGTGATTAACTGTTGAACATGGCTTGTATTTGAAGGTGATCAGTGCCATCCCAGACCAGGACACCTTCTATGACGTCACTGACGCACTAGAAGAGCTGGGCATGGATGCCGTCACCCAGAGACACATGCACAAGCAGGGGGCTGACCTTGACCTCCTGACACAGTTCCAGATTTATGAGGTGATTTTTTTTTAATGTCCATCATTGAATTATTTAACTCATTACTTTGTCCATGATTAGAACTATTTAACTCACCACTTTGTAAATCATTAGAGCTATTTAACCTATCCCAATATTATGCCTAGCTTATTTTATGTCAGATATATAACTTTGTTTTTCACCAATCAGAGTGCCTTAAAACATGAAGATGGAGAAGACTTTTCTGTGATCTCATTGGTTGATAATTTAAGGTAAATTTCCTAAAATTTCATGCTATACTCTAATCTTTGTTTTTTCCTTGTTTAATAATTTATGTAGCATTTGTTTTTAAATCTTACACCTTTGTTAACATTATTGCTGATTTTTTTCTTCTTGTTTTTAGTTATGGCTCATTAATTTCTACTTTAAGTTATAACTGATTTTATTTGGTATATTTCAACCAGGGCAAAAGATGGTTGTATCTAAATCTCCTTTGATATTTATCTCTCTTGTAGACGAGTACCCAGACAAAAGAGTGAAGGTCAGCCTAGAAAATCCAAGAGGCATGATGGTGGTAAGAAGATGAGTAAAGCTCAGAGCACCTCCAGTATACCACAGATGGTGGCAGGTGCAGAGACACCAGCCGAGGCTTTCAGGAGGAGGAGACAGCAACAGAAGGAGTGAGTGCAGGCTGCTGATATAGGGGTGTTTCATTCAATACAGCTTACAGAGGGGTATCATAGCATACACAGGGGTATCATAGCATACATAGGGGTGTTTCATTCAATACAGCTTACATGGGGTATCATAGCATACACAGGGGTATCATAGCATACACAGGGGTATCATAGCATACATATGGGTATCTTAGCATGCATTCGGGTATCATAGCATACATAGGGGTATCAAGGTTATATAGAGGTATCATAACATACATAGGTGTATCGAGCTTATATAGGGGTATCATAGCATACATAGAGGTATTGTAGATTATTTAGGGGTTTCATAGCATAGATGGTTAGGGGTGGTATAATGCATAGACCTGCATATTACATAATATTGCTTGTATAAAATGTAGTTTACTCAATCTTGGAGGATAAAAAAAAGCTGATACAAAACAAGTATTTAATTTGCGCTTAGATTAACATACTTTTTCACACTTTCCTAAAGGTATTTCTTAGCAGTTTTCAATTACATTTCTCATATGCTGAAATAATATTATAGTATACTTAAAAGATTTATAGCTTGTACTGTAAAGAAAGAATTGTATTGATTTGTTATTTCTGATGTCTATTATTACTTTAAACACTTTAAAATTGAATGTTGTAAAATTGTTCTTCACCAGAGAGTCAAGTGTCCCGCCCCTAGATGAGGTCGTTGACACTTACGGTCAGAAAGGCAGGAAACCTGCGCCTGGAGAGTGGGCCCCACCTGACACACAAGGGAACACAACCACTACCTCCCCACAGAGTAAGTTATCTTATATCTCCAGACACTTTGTCTTCTATAATCTAATTCTGTTTACCTTATTCTTATTGTTTCGTTTAGAAATAATTTCTTTGTGTCTTCTAAAATCTAATTCTGTTTACCTTATTCTTATTGTTTAGTTTAGAAATACTTTCTTTAAAGCAAAGTGCTATATTTTTCATAAGCTATTATATAAAATATTATAGTTTTTAATTTATTTCCGTATGGTACATCTACAAAATGAATTAAATAGTATTTAAAATATAGTTAACCGTTTTCAATCATTTCCAAGTCAGTTATTAGATAAATCATTGATTCTACAAATTATTTACATTCATGCTTAGCCTATATTTTTAACTTTTCTAAATCAATGAAAAAAATAGATATTTTTCTTTAGAATTTATCTCTGACTGACACTTGCTAAAAATCTGGCAATAAATAAAACCTGGTTGTTCTGCATGAAATGTGCACTCACTGACAGAGTTCTTGTAATTATTGCCTCTCACAGTTGGCCAGCATCTAACTGACCAGCATGAATAGATTTGCCAGGTTGGCTATTCAGTTGGCCAGCTTGACTTTCCTGTAGACCAGTTTGGTTTGCAGATGGCTGATGTTACAACTGAACTGCATGAATTGAGTTTTGCATGGGCTTTGCAGAATCATCATGTTCATTATTAAACCATGTTGTTAGTCGTTGCATTGACCTGCCCTCAAAATTAACATAAACCTTTTCCATTTAGTTAGGTGCAATGGTGCAGCGTAATTTTAAACATTCAACTTTTTTTCACTGAAAGTAGTGTACTAACCTGCATGCCCATCACTGTAAACTTACCATTTAGATCCACGAAGCCAACGCCGAAATCGTCAGAAGACTTTAATCCAAGAGCAGCAGGAACTGCAGGTGAAACCCATTCCAGAGTTTCTCAAACCATCTCACACAGCAGACCCCACGCAGAGGCCCCGCCGGAGCCTCCCCGCTCTCTTCACACCGGCTCACCAGCAGTCAGCAGCCATTGGCTCACCTTCTGCAACACTCAACCAGCCACCTTACGAGAGTACTCGGCCGACTTATGACAGTACACGGCCATCTTCCGACAGTACTCGGCCATCTTATGACAGTACTCAGCAGTCTTATAACAGTACCCAGCAGCCATTGGGCAACAATAACGATACTACCAAACAAGAGTCTTTCATTAGGGACAATGTTGTACAAGTCAGTCCAAGGGAGGGTGTACCTAGAGGTCACCAGGATAACTTAATAGGGGGTAGAAGGAATATACCTGACCCAAGGAGTAGCATGGAAGTTAATAACACAGGGGACAGACTCAGTAATAGTGGTAGGGGGAATAACTGGGAAAATATATCTAATGAGACTGAATTACAGAATAGGCAAACACAGTACACTCAGGGTGGGAGGGAGAAGACTGAAGACAGCGACTGGTTTAATAACAACAAAGAGGCCATTGAAATCTACAGTAATAGGGTGAGTAGACAGATGTTGAACAGGGAAAACGCAACTCTAGACTTCCGGAATGAGACGTCGCAGCAGTACCATTCTAGGGAAGAAAGTAACACCTACCCCAGTCACAGAGGGGGCAGAGAGCCCAGCAGTAGCTACTCTAATTCCCCGCTGACAAACTTTTCTGGTGACCGTCACGCCCCAGGGTCAGCCGTACCCCCCATGGTGAGCAAGTCAGAAATAACTTACCGTGATCCCTACTGGTCATCCATGTCTGACCTGCGCTCGTCAGTGTCGTCGTCCTTGAGCAGCAGCAGCAGCAGCTCCCACCAGGAGATCCAGCACCATCACCACCCCCACTTCTACAACCACCAGCACCACTCTGCCAGCCATGACAGCCAGCTGTCCCAGCCGTGGAGCCCAGCTAGCAGTGAGTTGACAGCTGGTAAGGTCTTGTCAAACAGCACTCTCTATCTTTATCTATGTTTTTTTTAAACAGCTAGCATGGTACTCATTTGTGGTAGTTTGTGTTTGCTGTAGAAGTTTAGTGAATGCTTGTTCTAAATTGTTATTTGGTGTTAATTATAATTTGTTTTCTTTGTTTGAAATGAGCATGAGTTGTTATGAGTGTATAGTTAACCAAAATGAAAATCTTTTACACTGAACTTTTTTAAAGATTTAGTAAAAATATTTTTATTTAAAATACAGAGTGCATACTTACAACATTTAGCTAAATCTAAAATATGCTTTAGAAATCTGACAAAAATTATTGTGAACCATTAGTTGTGTGTTTTTATCTTGTAGAGACTAAAGTCTATAATTGAGCTGCATGCAGCATTGCATGAAGGCATGTCTAGCTAATCTCTCTCTGACCCCTTCAGTCAATGCTGACTTGGTGAAGGTTTGAATATATCGTGGACTTTTTTCTTCAACATTACCACTGTACTTTCAGATAACTTGAACTTCCAAGGTAAGGGCCCGCCCTACAATGAATCAGGGTACCACAGCTTTGCTGAGGCCCAGCTTGACCCCAACGCCATGGAGACCAGGAACAACGCCATCAACGACGAGCGCAGCGACTCAGTCCAGTCCAACAACCAGCGCTGGCAGAACTACAAGCAGGGGCACAACGGGGACGTCAAGAGTCCACTGTCACCTGTGGCCAAAACAGTGGAGAACGGGTTCCCTGGGTCAGGTGAGGGTCAGGTCAAGGGGATGTTAAACAAACTGAAGGGCGAGGATTTGAAGCTACCCAAAGAGGCCATGAGGCCGGCAGGAGATTCCAGTGGGTTGATATCTGCCGCTAAAGATGGTCTGACACGGCAGATAGCACAGAAGGTAACCCCCGCGCCTGAACCAGAGAAGAAGACGGAGAGTGACTTGCAGTGGGATCGCATACAGAGGAGACTCAAAAGGCAGCTGATGATTAAAGACATGGACTTCACAGACCTGAAGGATGAAGACGACGAGGATGTTTTCTACACGCCCAAAATGTTTGGTGACAATGGTTTTGGGCCTCCGCCACCACCCCCAGGTGGCATGCCACCACCTCCACCCATGATGGGCGGCCTTCCTCCTCCACCACCCCCTCCAGGTGGCCTCCCGCCACCCCCTCCTCCACCCGGGGGCCGTGGACCACCCCCTCCACCTTCCCCCAACACATCAGCCCTCCCTCCCCCACCAGGGGCCAACCTAAAGAAAAACAAAAAGACAGTCCGCTTGCACTGGCGTGCGCTGGCTGTGGAGCCGCATGCAGCTCTGAAAGGTGAGGTCATCTGGAAGCAGCTGGTGCCCATCACCATAGACACAGACAAGCTGGAGCACCTGTTTGAGACAAGGACCAGTGAACTCAAGGCTAAGGCAAGTCTGTCTCCCACAGCTTTGTGTGTCAGTACAGCTATCTAATAACCCCAGCCTCACTGGGCCAGATACACTAAACATCTCTTACAGCTATCTGATGACTTTTTATTATCACTGTACCAAATGTCATTTCTACACCTAGTGACATTGCCGTATGGAATGTCATTGTTGTGCAAAATACCATTGTTGTACAAAATGTCTTTGTTGTACAAAAATGTCTTTGTTGTACAAAAATGTCTTTTTTGTACAAAACGCTGTACAAAATGTCATTGTTGTATAGAATGCCATTGCTTTACTAAATGTCATTTCTGTACAAGAGGTCATTTCTGTACCAAATGACATCACTGTACCAAAGCTTTTTGCTTTAGAGTCGTACACGTATGTGTACCAGAGCTTTCAACGTGCCATTGGTTACGTGTGTGCTGGCTTTCGTAATGTCCACGTGCTCTAGGTGTTGCACTTTACTAAATTAAGTCAGGCTTTGATTTCATGATAACAGAGGCTAACTCTGGGTTTTCTGTCAGGAAAATAGAAAATAAGCTTAAATACAGTTCAACATTTCAATGATTTTAAGCTCTTCATTCAAAATATGTTTCTCTTGATAATCTTAAAAAAAAAATTAATTTGACTTTTAATTTTTTTATTGTAAGAAAACTCCCATAAAGCTTTTAGCTTTTATGAGTATAAAAGCAGAGAATCTAATTCATCTATTTGATTGATTCAGTTTGCATTATTAGTTTACTAGCAGCTAGTTTATTATCTGGAGTGCTTTAATTTTTTATGTATATCAACTGACTCTAGCAAAGCTCAGTAATGTCACATGACATCCCGTTTCTAAAAATAACCTACACATCACTGCACTAGATGTGAGCACCACATAAAACTTTAGAAGTTTGTTTTGTCTGACACACATGGAAAAGATTTATTGTTAAATTTAGAACCATTCACTTTATGCTTTAAAAGACAAGGATTTTTGTCAAAAATAGTTTACAAAAAAAAACATGTATATGCATACAGTTAAGTTAAAGTTAACTAAATAAGTAGAACTGAGCTACTTGGATGAGCTTGGTAGTATTTTAACCCAATGTTTAATAACAATGTCTGGCCAGTCTAGCCAGTAGAATTAATGGTCTCTTCTTTTCTCCATGCGTTGGCTGGGTTGACTGCTGGCTAAAACATGTTGCATGTTCTATGCATTTTTCTTCAGGAAGTGGTAAGACATTTTCATTCATTCTCCCATCCTAAACATCATTGGTTTGTTCATCGCCTGTTTGTTTGGTTGCTTTTGTTCCACTGCATGCCAGTTTGTCTGATTGTTTTGTTGTATGCCAGTTTGTCAGATTTAAATTGCATGCCATTTTGTTGAATTTCTTCAGCTGTATGCCAGTTTGTCTGATTTAGCGGTATGCCTGTTTGTTCAATTGTTTAGCTGTATGCCAGTTTGTCTGATTTAAATTGCATGCCAGTTTGTCTGATTTGTTGTCAAGATAAATAATGGAGGTTTGTATTCAGCATGATCTATTTAACTGTAGATACATGTTGTAAATAAATTATATATGAGATTTGTTATTGTAAACTTTCTGTTAAAAACAAAAGATACTTAGATGGTATAGATAAAGCATGAGGAGAAGTAAAAGGATAGTATTATCTACTTGCCATAAGTTAAAAAATTACAATTTCCTTATTTTAATTATTTTTTAGACAGAATTATACAATTTGCAAAAATGTTTCAATCGTTTCATCCTTTTCAAACTTGTACCTAAAATTTTGAAATCAGAAAGAGAAACTTCTTGTATCTCCATATTTTATATTTTAATAAAATCTTAGGGAATTTTTTCACTTGTTTCAATAGTTAAGTATAAAATTAAACCACTTAAATGTTCAGTGTTCCATAGTAAAAATCACCATGTATGTTTAGTAAAGCATGATTATGCCTGAGAAAAGTTTGTTTAAACAAATTTGCCTTTGAACCTGATCCATTTCCCATAATTCACCTATCGTGTGTTTACATCTGTGACCTATTGCTTTCACCAAGTATCCATTTTGTGTCATGTGACTTTCTGCTAAAACCTATCTCTGTATAACTTCAGTCAACCGCATTTCAGTTCACTACATAATTAATAAATCACCAAATAGTAGCCTAATCACAACTTTATTGAGACTTACTTTTTAATGCATTAATTGTTTATTCATGCCTCAATAATAAAATTCTCGTAAGTAGAACTCAACCATTCTAGGGCTGTGGTATATCATATGGAGCTTGACTGACATATATCGGCTTGTGTATCTACTTTTATACTTCATAACCTAGAGATTTTTTTTTAAACTTTTATATACACACACTTTTATACTGGATTTCTTTCATATTTTATTTCTATTATATATATCTATGTAAACATATATCAATTTAGATTAGAATACATTAGATTTCTGCCTGTGTAACTTGATTGTTTTGATTACCTGCTAGAGATTATAAACCAGTCTGTCTATCTTAACCCACTCAGTAAGCTCCTGAGAATGCAAAAATACAAACTCTCATTACCCCCTCTCCCTTAAATAGCCTGATTTTGGTTTTGGTTTTATCCTTACTCTAATTTTTAAACATTCAATTTTTTTCTACCTTCTTGTTTTTTAAAAGTTTAATCCATTTATTTTTAATATGAAATAATTCAGTCATAAAGGCTTTTTTTCTAATTCTATTTTTTTATATTTAACATTTTTTTAAACTTGAATAAACGTCTATCTATATCTGTTTAATAAATGTACATAAATGCTTTAACATATCATATTAATGAACTACTAAAGAATGTAATGCAGCAGCAAATGCTCACTGATTTGTTTGGCCATCTGTTAGTGTGTGAAGCTGAGAGATTTTGTGTTTAAGACTTGTTGACTTGCTTCTAGAAACAAGACGCCACAGGGAAGAAAGAAATCACCGTACTGGACCCTAAGAGATCAAATGCCATCAACATTGGTCTCACTGTTCTTCCCCCTCCCCGTGCCATCAAGGCAGCTATTCTAAAGATGGATAACTCTATCATGAATAAAGAAGGAATAGAGGTAAAAACTGGTTCATCTCTGTCTTATTATGTCCCCTTATAAATTGGTTTTTGTAATTGATTTTATTATTACAATTTAATCTTTTAAATGTTAGGATCTACTGTGAACAAAATATATAGTAATTGATTTCATGTTTGCTTTTGTTTTTTTTAACTTGCATGTCTCCATTAAATTTCGCAGATATAGAAATTCATGTTGTTTATTAACAAAGATATCTCTATTGAATTTATATTAAAACGATCTTGCCCCAGAAAATGTACTATACAACTCTTGTGTCCCCAGAAAATTTTGAATACCATGATTCCAACAGAAGAAGAAAAGTCCAAGATCCTGGAGGCCCAGATGGCCAACCCTGACATCCCCCTGGGCACAGCTGAACAATTCCTTCTCACCCTCTCTTCCATATTTGAACTAGAAGCACGACTCAAGTTGTGGCTCTTTAAGTTAGACTATGAACTGTTAGAACAGGTAACTAATCCTGGGTGTGGCTGTTTCAGTTGGAAAAGTAAATTGACAAACTTAAGGGGATATGCGAGTTTTTTTCCTATTTTTTACAATTTAATATCTAAAGCCTTTTGAATTCTTTTATCATGTTTGGCATATGAAAGTTAGCATTAAACAGCAAAAAAAAGGGTTGAAAACAATTTTGGTTGTCATGGAAACCCAAAAAAACCTCAGCCATTTATAATTTTTTGGTACTTTTAAAAATGCTAAGGCTTTTTTATTTATGCACCTATAGCAATCAAATTTAAACTGCTTATATTTCAATATAAAAACTTTAGTCACGAAAACCTTTTAAAATATCTACTAGTAAGAATTTTACAGTCTAAAAAATCGTACCATTTTTAGTGTTCAAACGTTTCAAAATTTGCATATTAATTACCAAATACTTTTTTTCTATGAAAGCCATCACAATTCCCTCGCGATAAAAGTTGTATTCTTGCATGAAGAACAATTACTGAAAATATGGTGGCGATTGTTTAATAAAAAAAAAGTATTAGGCTTTATATAGTGTTAAAAACCTTCAAACTGAGAAAAACAGCCAAAAGTAACGAAAAGTAGGTCATGAAAATACCATATCTGTGTAAACTGCAAAGCCGATTGTAAGCTTTGGGTGTTTCCGAGATGATGGAAATTAAGATTATCAAATACATGAGAAATCCAGCTTTCCAATGATGCCAAATACAATATGATGACGGATATAAAACTTTTCATAGAGAGCGTGTAAGATCGGGAAAAATTGATTATAGGGTCATAAAAATGGTAATTTAAACACCTAAAAAAAATTTTTCTCTTTAAAGTTATTATTTTCTTAATACAAAAATGGACAAAGTATCCAAAAGTGCAAGAAACCCATCATGACGAAAAACAGGAAATTTTGTGATTTTTTTTTGCAGTGCATATCCCCTTAACTACATCTGTCAGATTTTGAAAGGCTTACTTGAATTGAATCAGATTGTTGTTAGTCTTTTGATCCCTAATGTACATCAAATAACCATCTTCAAATTGTCTATGTAAATCTAGGAAATAGCAGAGCCTTTGATGGATCTCAAGAAAGGAATCTCTGAACTCCAGAAGAACAAAACTTTCAGGTGTATTCTCTCTGGTATACTAGCAATGGGAAATTTTCTAAATGGAGCAGCTGTAAGTTCACACAATTGTTATTATTTGATTACAGTTTTATTACAACAAACATTGTTATTGATTTATCCACACAATTTTAATACATCTAACACAATTACTGTTGATTTATCCATACAATTCTAATACATCTAACACAATTACTGTTGATTTATCCACAATTCTAATACAGCTAACACAATTACTGTTGATTTATCCACAATTCTAATACAGCTAACACAAATACTGTTGATTTATCCACACAATTCTAATACAGCTAACACAATTACTGTTGATTTATCCATACAATTCTAATACATCTAACACAATTACTGTTGATTTATCCACAATTCTAATACAGCTAACACAATTACTGTTGATTTATCCACAATTCTAATACAGCTAACACAAATACTGTTGATTTATCCACACAATTCTAATACAGCTAACACAAATACTGTTGATTTATCCACACAATTCTAATACAGCTAACACAAATACTGTTGATTTATCCACACAATTCTAATACAGCTAACACAAATACTGTTGATTTATCCACACAATTCTAATACAGCTAACACAAATACTGTTGATTTATCCACAATTCTAATACAGCTAACACAAATACTGTTGATTTATCCACACAATTCTAATACAGCTAACACAATTACTGTTGATATATCCACACAATTCTAATACAGCTAACACAATTACTGTTGATATATCCACACAATTCTAATACAACTAACACACTTCTTGTTGCTGTGCCCACCAGATCCATGCCTTCAGTGTGGAGTTCTTGCAGCGTGTGCCAGAGATCAAAGACACCGTCCACAAGCACTCACTGCTGCACCACCTGTGTTCACTCATCATTGAGCAGTTCCCTGATTCTACAGACCTGTACTCAGAGATTGGGCCCATCACAAGATGTTCCAGGGTAGGAGAGTTATCTTTCCTGGGTGTAGATTTGTGACTGGATACAGGGAGTTATCTTTCCTGGGTGTAGACTTGTGTTTGTCCTTTATGACTGGATACAGGGAGTTATCTTTCCTGGGTGTAGACTTGTGTTTGTCCTTTGTGACTGGATACAGGGAGTTATCTTTCCTGGGTGTAGACTTGTGTTTGTCCTTTGTGACTGGATACAGGGAGTTATCTTTCCTGGGTGTAGACTTGTGTTTGTCCTTTGTGACTGGATACAGGGAGTTAACTTTCCTGGGTGTAGACTTGTGTTTGTCCTTTGTGACTGGATACAGGGAGTTATCTTTCCTGGGTGTAGACTTGTGTTTGTCCTTTGTGACTGGATACAGGGAGTTATCTTTCCTGGGTGTAGACTTGTGTTTGTCCTTTGTGACTGGATACAGGGAGTTATCTGCTCTTTCTGTTTTTACCTGTTCTAGTTTTCCTGGCATAGAAAATCAATTAAAATTTCTGTTGTTTGACTTGAGTTTTTGCTTGTAGATTGACTGGGATGAATTGTCCCGCAAGCTTGACAAAATGGAATATGATTGTAAAGCCTCATGGGATCACCTTCGTGCCATAGTCAAGCATGACGGCAGCTCTACAGATCTCAAGGGAAAGTGAGTACATGCTGGGTACTAGCTTAATGCTGGGTACTAGCTTACTGCTGGGTATTAGCTTAATGCTGGGTTATTTATAGTATCTCAGTCATGTGGGTGGCCTTTTGAGGATTTGTTGCTGTGTGCTGGGTTGTTGTTTTTTTTTTTTTTTTTTTTTTTTTTTTTTGGAAACATTTTTGTGACATTCAATTATTATTATTTTTAATTGAGATTATGAAAGAATTTTTTTTGTATGTTTTCAGGATGTCATTATTCCTAGCAGACGCAGCAGAGAGAATCATGATATTACACATAATCAACAAGAGAATCCTCAACAGGTAACAAATTTTGTTACATACTGTCTTTAACATGGGGCATTAAATCACAATGTATAAAGTATTTCTGTTATAAACCATTTTTACAGGAACAATAAATTACTGTTACTAATTCAATAAACTGCTACCAAAAAAAATATATTGAAAGGCACAATATCTTTATGTATTGTATCTTTAAAGATACAATACATTATTTTTACCAATTAAAAAAAGTTAATTTTTAAGAGACAATGTATTATCGTTAAAGATACAATACATTATTTTGGACAATTCATTACACTATCATTAACAATTTTTTAAATATTTTTGAAGATACAATACGTTATCTTTACCAAAACTACAAATCAGTTTTACAAACATGAGCAATTCTTGTTACTTACTTACTTAATCCTCATCACTCCCTGTGGAGTATAGGGCAGCAACAAATCTCCGCCATTCCACTCTGTTTAGTGCGAGCCACTTAAGTTCATGCCAGGTCTTGCCAGTAGCCTGTACTTCTTGCATCTCTCTCCTCCATGTTCCCATTGGTCTGAGTCCACTTCAGCACCATGTTGGGGAGTCTTTTTTTGCTCATGCGTAGGACATGGCCCAGCCATCTCCATCTCCTCATTTGAACTTCTGAAAGAATAATTCTTGTTCCAGATACAACAAACTGCTGCTGTACCTGGGGTTTGCTGTCCATGATGCTAGAGAGATGAAGATCAACACATTCTGTAAAGTGATCAGTGAGTTTGCTCTAGAGTACAGGACCACCAGGGACAAGGTCCTGCAGATGTTACAGAAGAAAGCCAATCAAAGGGAGAGGAAGAAGACGAGGGGGAAGATGATTGTAGACGTAAGCATTGGATTGTTTTAGCGTGGTTCTGTTGAGATCATTTCCTGTTGGAATTGGTAGTAGTAAAGTTTCCTTTTTGAACATGACTGTTCATTGGGCAAGTGAAGTAGAGTTCACCTGTTTCTGTGACCACAGCATATGAAGGGATAGTGTGATTAACATTATGTCCAGTGTCCAGCAGAATTTACTTTTGCTAACATGGGTCAGGTACCCATCAGAGCTGGGTGAACTCAGGGATCTTCTACTGACTTGAACCTGCGTTCAAAATCTGGATTTTTTAATTAGCATTGTGTTAGTTATTATGAACAAATTTCTAATTTGAACAGGTACCTTTTAATGTATTAGATGTATCTCTTTATTGTTGAACCCCTTACTTTGAGAAGTGTATATATATTTATTTGCTTAGTTAAACAAATTTTCTCTGAACCATCTCCAGACTGAAAACTTCAAGAACAAAGATGCACATAATGATGATGCCTTGAGTGCAATACTGAAGAATGGCTACACAAGTGCTGATGAGAGGGGCTTGCCAGGACAGAGAAGTCGAAGGAAATTGGGTAAGATTTGCCTTATACCCAGTAACTTGGTCTTTGCTGACTTGTGTGGATATTCCTTACAAAGTTGTTTTTTTTTTAACTTTTGTGGATTTTCCCTACACTCAATAACTGGGTTTTTGTTGACTAGTAAATATTTTCCCTACTGTTGAGCTCGATAGTCTAAGCTTACAAGTTGTGTCTTAAAATCCTTTTGTGTAGTAAAAACATAAAGACATCAGGTTATCATGCTTAAATAGGATTGTACATGTAACTCCACACAAAAGTATAACAAAAACATTTTTCTTCAAAATGTTACATACTAATGTAAGCTGAACAAGTTTTACAAGACTCAAACATTCAGCTATCTGTATCATTTTACATGTTAGTGTACATTAATTCCCTTGAATGTTGTAGAAGAAATGTTTTGTTGGCACCACATTTCAGATGCCCGTTCCATGGGATCAAGAGGTGGCATGACGACAGACTCAGACATGTATGACACAGGTGACGACGAGATCCTCGAGGCTTGTGTTAGGACAGCGACCGCACCCACATCCAGACCACAGAGGGAGCGCAAGAGGTCGCGCAGTCAAAGAAAGTCTTGTAAGTATCTGATTACTTCCCTTGGTTCTAGACTTAGTATCTGATTATTTCCCTTGGTTCTAGACTTGTAAGTATCTGATTATTTCCCTTGGTTCTAGCTAGTGTTGGCTGCTACAGCAATGTGGGGGTCGTTGTTCTGCTTTTGAAATAGTTTCATGCCTTTTGTGTTTTTAAAGAACTCTGGGTCAATGGATAAGTTAATATTTTGTTAACTTTTATTAGAACACCCAATGAAACACATTGCACAATTGAGATTTTAGAGCTTATTAAACTGTAGTTTGGTTATTAAAAAATCTGAACTCACCTCTAAAACAAGAAAGTCAGATATGTGAAGGCCAACACTTTACCTTGTAACTATCCATCACCAGTGCTGTAATGTTAGATAACAGTTGGAGTGTGGTGTCTTTTCTTACACATTCAAATGAAAGAGCCTATTAGAATTCTATTCAGATTTTAAACAGAAATGGACTATTTTGTATAAAGCAAAGTTTCCTTCATTCTGTGTGTTTGCACAGTACACCTGCCATGTAGTCACCTGATAAAATACATTTAATGTTGTTCAAGTCATTGTAGAGCACTACCCACTTAAAATATATTTTGCTCTCTCTTTTTTGTTTGATAGTGGTAATTTTGTGTAGGATTCTGACCAGATTTTAAAACCATCTCATCCCAACCCCACTCATTTTCCCCTGTTTTAAATGATGTGTTTTTTCCTCAGCTTTTTGGGACAGTGATTTCTAGGTAACACCAGTCTGTCTCCTTGCAGTTAAAAATCTTGTTGTTTAGTTTTGTCTCTGCTAGTTTATGCTGATGCATTGATTTTTATCTGATATTTTTATTTTCTCACTTTGAGTTGAGACTTGAGTTCTTTTAAAATAATCCTCAGCATGGTTTTTTTTTTGGTTAAAAATACATCGAACTTATTTTCTACACTTCTTAAATCAGTAAATACAAAACAAAAAAAAGGAATTCTAATGAATATGACATAATATTACATTTTTAATGTCAAATAGTCACCATCAAGAATGGCAAAAAAAAATATACAGTTAACATTTTTACCACATTTTTTGCTGGGTAGATTTTTTTTTACTATTTAACCAACTGCTTTGGTAATTTGAAATTTTTAAAAGTAAGAAAATATTTACGTAGATGGTGTGATGAATTCATTGAAGTTGTTGAGGCTTGTGAATATTAGATAGTGGCTGTTGGTGGGCTTGCATCTATGTGCATGACAACTCAAGTTCTGGTGATTAGCGCCAAACTTAGATTGGGAGATGTTACACAATACTATTCAGTGCTGGAGATATACATTACCTCAGTAAATTCTGCTGTGGGGGTCATCTTTGTCTCCTATCTTTACTTTATTGTTTGTTTGTTTGTTTTTTTGTACTTGAAAGTTGACACACCTGTGCAGTTAGTTAAATCAAGCTGTTACAACAGGTGCACTGTTTGCAGTTTGGGTTTCGTTACATTTCTTACCTATGTCATAAAACAAATGATTGAAGCCTGCTGTTGCTTTCTACTTAAAACTTTGTGATCAGGTTGATGCATGTCTCTTGTTTGATGAATGCGAAGCCTGGTTTGTTTTTGTCTTGAAAAACTGGCAAAACACCAACCTGGACATAAACTTTTTTTTTTCTTTCTTGCATAACAGCTTTTAAACAATTATTAGTCATAGGAGGCGGTTTTGTTTTTTAATTGCCACACATACAACTTTTTCTTCCTTTTTTTTTGTTATGGCAGTATCGTTACTAGTTGCCTGGGTAGGCAGAGAGGTAAAACTGTAGCCAGATAATCTATAGACTATACTGTATGGGGTGCCAGGTTTAAAGCATGATGGGTGAATGCACTATTTGACGTACTCCAGAACCCGTATGTTCAGTGATGTTGGTCCTTACGTATGTGGGTTGGTGGGAACTAGTAGATCTCAGATGGTGTTGGGTGCTCAAGGACTGGGGAGTAAATCATGCATGGCGTCTAGCTGATTGTGATTGTGATTGATCACCTGTATGGCTACTGACCATGGGAGTGTGGAGTGATACATTTATTATCGTTAAACATGAGTTGTTACACATATTTGAATGGAATGTTCTTGATGCGATAGTGCAATAATCCCCCTTGACACATTGGTATAATTATCCCCCTGTCAGATAGGTGTAATTTTATTTCTCTTTGACATAGTTGCATAATTATCCCCCATTGACACAATCCCCTTGTCACAAATGTGTAATTTCCCCTCTTGACAAAATGTAATAATTATCCCCCTGACAGATGTCTGGAGATGTGTAATTATCTCCCTTTGACACAGTTGTGTAATTATCTCGCTTGACACAGTTTTGTAATTCCATGACATGATGTTTTAATTATTCCCTTTGACATGGGTGTAATTATTCCCCTTGACACTCGTCTAATTATTCCCGTTGACACTGGTGTAATTATTCCCCTTGACACTGGTGTAATTATTCCCCTTGACACAGCAGTGTAATTATCTCCCTTAAAACTTGTGTTCGACACACCAGGCCAGATAGAGTAGGATTGCTTGTATCAGTTGCTTTGAGTCCTGCAGCTTTGAAAGCTGCTTGTTTTTCTGTTTTTATTTTTTTTTACTTCAATAATCAGATTTATTTTACCTTTCAGCTTTTCTGTGTTACTAAACATCCCCCAAGTTAGGTGTAATGTTATGGTACTAAACATCTGTACATTTGTCAGCTGTTCTTCAGTACTAAATGAAACATGACCTATTGCCCATTTCATAATACCAAGACATCACCCAATACCTATTTCACACCATGGACATATGACCTAAAGCCTAATTTCTCATGGACACATGACCTATTTTCATACCATTGAAACATGACCTATTTTCATACCGTTGAAACATGACCTATTTTCATACCATTGAAACATGACCTATTTTCATACCATTGCAACATGACCTAATTTCCTAATTTCTCATGGTCACATGACCTGCCTATTCTGACACCATGGACACATGACCTACCTATTCTGACACCATGGACACATGACCTACCTATTCTCACACCATGGACACATGACCTACCTATTCTCACACCATGGACACATGACCTACCTATTCTCACACCATGGACACATGACCTACCTATTCTCACACCATGGACACATGACCTACCTATTTCCACACCATGGACACATGACCTACCTATTCTCACACCATGGACACATGACCTACCTATTCTCACACCATGGACACATGACCTACCTATTCTCACACCATGGACACATGACCTACCTATTCTCACACCATGGACACATGACCTACCTATTCTCACACCATGGACACATGACCTAATGTTCACACTACTGAAATCAGGCCTACATTGACTTTAAACCTGACCTAACAGCTAACCTAACCTGCTGTTGCTATGGAGAATTGAAATGCTTCTTACCCTGCAAACATTACCCTACACTAACACACTGCTCCATTTTTTAAATGAAAATTGTTTCAGCTGAATTACTTGTTTTAGTTTTTAAAATATTTTGTTCTATTCTCATTATAGTTAGTATTTAGGAAAATCTTTTTTTTTTAAGTAAACATTTTTTGGGATCTTCTAAGTTCTCTCAAATATAATATTAAATTACCTGGTTTATTAGGTTTTAGAAAAGATAATTTAAAAGATAACTGAAATACCTTGTCGTTTTTTTTTTTATTTGAATTTTTATATTTTTTTATAAGAAAAATATATTTAAAACTCACTGTTATTTTTAAATCAGAATGACTTAAATATTTTTGTTGTTATAAAATGATGTGATTGATTGCAGCCTATTTGCTAATTTAGTGAATTGCTTTGGCTTTTGCAGTGAGGCGAACATTAAAAGGTGGATTGGATCCTGAGGCCATGATGGTAGTTGGATCATTTGCTGACCAGGTGTAGGAGCAGCTGACCCAAGGCCTGATGTACAAGTCACTACTTGTTGTTTTTTTTCTCTGTCTAACAAAGGCACCAACAAATGTTTCCTTGTATTTCTGCTTTGTTGTGGCTGCTGCCGATTTGTCTTGTTTGTATGAGGGAGGTAACCCTGTCTGCTAATACTTCTGCTAATTTGTCCTCATCTGTTAAGACAAGTTGTAGACCTTTGGGAGAAGAAAGTTTTGGGGAAAGCTGTCAGGTTTTCTAGTCTTTCATTTAACTGATGGACACATTTTTTTTTACGTTAATTCTTTCTTAACTATGCAAATTCTTAACCCAGTCTTGTTATTTTATTGAATAATTAAGATTGCCATGAAAGATTAATATTACTACCAATTTTCGACATTTTATGAAATTTTTACCAAACATCAACTTTAATTTTAAAGTTGGATGTTTGCTTCAGGTTGTAATAGAATTTTGTTTTTAAATTGCCATATATTGCGTGGCGTTGTGGACGACATAAATAGGTATGCACCAAGTTCCTGTGTTGACGTGCAATATCTCTTCCAGCTCAATCGCGGCTTAGACTATTTCTCTGTTGTGCAGATTCAAGTTCAGGACTGCCAGCTCTGTTGTGTTATATTTTTTTTGAGTGATAATGAAACTGGTGAATGTTCACACCCACTGTTGTTCCTAATATTTCCTGTCTCAATGTAAAAACAAACAAAATGATGCTTCTCATTTTTCGCACTGTACATTTTTTTAAAGTCATCTTTTTTTACACTAATTTATTGATTTTAATGATGTAGGTGTATAGCAGTTTGTGTTGTATTATGTAGAATGAGCTTTTTTTTTATTGTAGGTAACCTCATGCTTGTTTTTATTGACCCTGTTACATCCAATTTATTTTCAACATTTTCAGTTGCCATTTTTACTTTAGCATAATCTTTTCATTCAAATAAATAACAACATGTCATTAGATTTTTGTTAACTTCAACAAGTACATGTTTTTCTCCAATTTGAAGTTATTCCATTCTTTGTTTACATTTTTGTCGTTGCTCGCTCGACGAACCAAAAAACTGTTAACCTAGTCATTTAAAAAATTGTTCAACATTAAATCTTCAGCTACAGATTTATTGACAAAGAGAATTCACTATTCATTTAGTTTTATTTCCTTACAAAGTGAATATCAAACAATAACAGAGAATGAATTTTGTTCAAATATGGTTTGCTATAAATTGTTTTTAATTTATTTTTTCTCTGTGCAATGGCTATTTAAAACTGTAACCTACCACATAAACCTGACTCTAACCTGACCACTCGCTGTACCAACATTCATTCAACACTTGTTAATCCTGAAACAACTCAGCCTAATCCATACATTTTAGGATAGGTCATCGGCTTTCATGAACACCATCTTTTTAAAATCAAATTATAATACCATCAACATCAGCTGCAGAAATTAGTTTTTTGAATATGCAAAACTATAACAACCTTCTGTAGGGGTTTGAGCTGTCTGTAACATGTAAATAGTTCAAGTTGTGTAGATTCAACTTTTTCACAGCCGTCCATTTTTTCAACCTTGAACTATCTCTCTCCTGTATCACATTCTTCTATGCAAAACACATTTTTAATGCAAATCTAAAATATTTTTACATTTTTTAACCTTATAAAAATTTCACAGATTTTAAAAAAATATTTTTAACTTTTTTAAAAACATATTTTGAAAAATTTTTAACAATTCATTTTTAAAATCTGTTACTAGAAAGATATGTATTTTATCTTAATGTACTTTAATTACCTGTTTCATTAATAAATACAAAATGTTCTTCTAGTTAATCAAATCCTTGCTCTGCTGTTTTAATTAGTTTTAGTGAAATTGTTTTAAAACTTTTCACCATATTTAAATTGTATAGTAGTGTACAACTGTATTGAAGGGCAAGGTTTTAGATGTTACATCCAGTCTTCAAATCTAGACTGTTATTTGTTATGACAACTAGACAACCAAAAATTTGGAGCAGATATGATAGCAACAAAGTTTAATAATGATTTTTAACTGCTGATGACTATAACAATACAAATTAGCTGATGTTAATGGAAATTCTTAACTGCTGATGTATACTAAAACCAACTAGCTAATTTTGAATGAGATTTTCAACTGCTGATGACTACAACCCTGCCAAACAGCTGATGTTCCTAGCTTGAATATCAAAGCTTATGTGTACTGCTGAAGGAATGATAATTTATTATGACAAAAACTTAAAAAGATGTGGCATTGTTTATGATGAGTGTATTATATTATCAATGTTTTATTTATCTCTGTATATCTGCAGCATTGTATTAAATTCATTACACTACCAGCCTGCAAATGGGTGTGACGCATATTTCTGGAATCTGCCTGGCATATTTCACCAGCCTGTTCTACAGAGGGGCAGCCTTGCATGGCTGTCTTCCTCTAGCTTAGAACTCTCAGTCTAGCATGGCTGCCTTCCTCTAGCTTAGAACTCTCAGTCTAGCTCGTTACATCACGTTTGTCTTTAATTTACCTGTATTAGATACCTGTATTAGTGAATTTTTCCGAGGTTTTTTTGTTTTGTTTATTCGATGCATGATAACGGTGTAGTGATGCCAAGGCAGGTGCCAGAACCAAGAGTCTAACAATATTTATTTTGTCATGTTACTAAATTTGTTACAACTTTAAGGTGAAAATAAAATGGCTAAGATTCAATCAGAAACACCAGTTCATGTATTTTTACACAAAAAAAAAAAAAAATTTAAATGAAATCTTAAAAAAACTACAGGTGTACTGTACAGGTGCACTGCACAGGTGCACTATTTGTTGACCCCCTGCTTGAACCATATACAGTTGTTGTATATACAGTTCAATGTTTCTGTTTTCACATTTGCCTTTTTCTATTCAAGATGAAAACAAAAATATATTTATTGTTTTACTTAATTAAAAAAAAAAATTAACATTAAGTTCTACACAAGATTGTAATGAGTTCATGTTATAAATAATTTGTTCTAATCTTTTATAACTTTGTTTGCTTATTTGGAATGTTTGAGTATTGTGTTGGTTTGTCATGAAGTATGGTAGTGTGTTCCTATGTATGGTAGTGTGAAGTTTCTATGGGATGAAGTATAGTAATGTGTTCCTATGAAGATCCAAATTCCATCGAAAAATCAGCTGGGAATACAAAAGCTGGACTTAAATCAGAAAATCTGAGATAACTTTGAATCAGGAAATCTGAGATAACTTTGCATCAGATAATCTGAGATAACCTTGAATCAACAAATCTGAGATAACATTGAATCAGGAAATCTTAGATAACTTTGAATCAACAAATCTGAGATAACATTGAATCAGAAAATCTGAGATAACCTTGAATCAGAAAATCTGGGATAACATTGAATCAGAAAATCTGAGATAACCTTGAATCAGAAAATCTGAGATAACCTTGAATCAGAAAATCTGAGATAACCTTGAATCAGAAAATCTGAGATAACCTTGAATCAGAAAATAGGAGTTGAAGATCTAGGTAGACCGCGAGTTGGTGAATCGATTTGGATCGATATTTTGTGTCTATATCCAGCATACTGTCGGTGTAGAGATCCTTTGACATTAACGACCATGTTACGGCTAGGGTTATGTTTGATACAACCATAAAATTTGTAGCGACGCTGTGGAAAACTATGTGCTGAAATTTGTAGGTATACGCTAAACTTATCAATATAATATGGGGTATATTTTTAGTTTCTTTTTTTTTATTCTGAAAAGTAGATGTAGGCCAATATAGAAATGTGCAGTCAAGCGTATCAAGGAACAAAAAGAAAATATAAAATGTGAGCAGAACTATTTGAAGCTGCTTCAAGACAGATAAACCCCGGATGAAATGAAAAACTGTATACTTAAGCCAGTGTCCTCTCTATCCCTTCTCCTTTCCCATAAATGACAAAGTTCACCTATGAACGACCTTCCAAGATAATAAAATACAAGACATACATATTTTAACTATCTCGTAGCTCATTCCCGGAGAAAAACACCCCCACCCCCACCCCCCCCCCCCCCCCCCCCCCACATACACACACAGGATCATAGCAATACACCACCCACACGCACACTGGAACACAGTAATTCCCCACGCCACACACATCCTCATCCACACACACACAGGATCATAGCAATGCCTCAAACCACCACCCTTTCTCCTTACACCACATCCTCACTACAACTACAACAGTTAGAAGATGTTGGTTTATTATGATGAATATGAAACATGGGGACTAACATGCAGAGGTGGAGTGGCCCGCCGGTCTACCGGGAAAATCCCGGTGGGCCCACAGGAAAAATTATCGATGGGCTCACAGTAAAAATTATCGATGGGCCCACAGTAAAAATTATCGATGGGCCCACAGGAAAAATTATCGATGGGCCCACAGTAAAAATTATCGATGGGTCCACAGGAAAAATTATCGATGGGCCCAAAGTAAAAATTATCGATGGGCCCACAGTAAAAATTATCGATGGACCCACAGGAAAAGTTATCGATGGGCCCACAGTAAAAATTATCGATGGGCCCACAGGAAAAATTATCGATGGGCCCACAGTAAAAATTATCGATGGGCCCACAGGAAAAATTATCGATGGGCCCAAAGTAAAAATTATCGATGGGCCCAAAGTAAAAATTATCGATGGGCCCACAGTAAAAATTATCGATGGGCCCACAGGAAAAAGCATCGATGGGCCCAAAGTAGAAATTATCGATGGGCCCACAGTAAAAAGTATCGATGGGCCCACAGGAAAAATTATCGATGGGCCCACAGGAAAAATTATCGATGGGCCCCCAGGAAAAAAAGTCTCGATGGGCCCACGGTAAAAATTATCGATGGGCCCACAGGAAAAATTATCGATGGGCCCACAGTAAAAATTATCGATGGGCCCACAGGAAAAATTATCGATGGGCCCACAGTAAAAATTATCGATGGGCCCACAGGAAAAATTATCGATGGGCCCACAGGAAAAATTATCGATGGGCCCACAGGAAAAAAATCTCGATGGGCCCAAAGTAAAAATTATCGATGGGCCCACAGGAAAAATTATCGATGGGCCCACAGGAAAAATTATCGATGGGCCCACAGGAAAAAAATCTCGATGGGCTCACAGGAAAAGTTCTAGGTTGGCTCCAGGAACGGTGCTATAGAAATAGTCCTACAAGTATTAATTTTTAAAATAATCATTAAAAAAGTTTTAAAAAACCCACGTTTTCTGATTGAACTAAAAAGTAGAAAATAAACGCTATACATCACAATAATGCAAGCGATCACTCTACTATAAGCGATGAAAAACGTGGGGCGCCGAAGTAAAAGTTATATTACTATTGATTAGATAATACTATTGACTTTTATTAGGGAGCTTGTAGAGAGTCAACAGTATTAGAAACTGTAAGAAAATCACGGCGCCCCACGTTTTTGATCGCTTATAGTAGAGTGATCGCTTGCATTATTGTGATGTATAGCGTTTATTTTCTCCTTTTTAGTTCAATCAGAAAACGTGGGTTTTTTAAAACTTTTTTAATGATTATTATTTTCTACTTTTTAGTCTTTGTTTGTTTGCATTAAAATCTTGCTATCGATTTTATCTTTTCACTTTTTTTTTGGGTAAACGAAGACAACTCGTAAAAAGACAACTCGTAAAAAGACAACTCGTAAAAAACACGTTGTGTAAATACGTTACTGACTAGAACACATAGATTTGAACCCGTGTCGAGTGGGATAGCAATCGTGTGCCCAACCACTCGACCATATCGTCTCCCCCAAACTGACCTACCTCCTGTAAGTTTAAACTCGGTTCAAACTAAATTATCTGCCCCTAAGCCTGTGGCGACGTGGGATCGTTCGCTTCACTGCGCGCGAGGTACGCGTCGCTCGTTTTTTTTCTAATGGCTCGCAGAGGAGAATTATATATATAGATTATATAGCGGTCTAAAATGCTCAATAAAATGTTTCCATTGATCAATTTAGTAATAATAACAATTGAATATTCAATGGTCATCCAAAAGAAAGCTTCCCTGAAAATTTCAGCGCGCTAGCTAACTGGGAAGTGCCAGAAATTTCCATCGCAAGATTGGATTGGAAAAACAGACAAACAGAGAAAGCAAGTTAAAGAAAACGTGGGAAAAATAAACAATTTCTTATTTTATCATTTACATTCCTTCATACAAAGACGTGACATTCAATATGATGGGTGAAAAAATCCTCAATGAAAGTTTCAATGTTGAATTGATGACCCCTTAGAAAATTTCCGAGGCCTGTTGTACACAGCCACTCCACCCCTGCTTACATGACTGCAGTGAAAGACACCCCCCCCCCCCCGTAAAGCTTAGTATGGCCTTGTTAAAGTTTATCATTTTATGACGTGTGAGCGACATAAATCTCGCGTTAACCGATAACACCTGGCTCACAAGGTGAGACAGGTGATACAGGTGAGGTGTGAGTAACTTCATGCATGTAAGGATGACCGGCAAACTGAGCATTTACCTGTGTCTACTGGTCACTTGTTACCTTGGTGCCGTGTATGTCTTCGTCGACCAGACTTGGAGGCCTGACCTAGCATTAGACCACCGGTCAATTGATGGAGCACGTGACCACCGGTCAATTGATGGAGCACGTGATCAGCTGTCAGTTGATGGAGCACGTGACCACCGGTCAGTTGATGGAGCACGTGACCACCGGTCAGTTGATGGAGCACGTGACCACCGGTCAGTTGATGGAGCACATAACCACTGGTCAGTGGATGGAGCACGTGACCACCGGTCAGTTGATGTAGCACGTGACCACCGGTCAGTTGATGGAGCACGCGACCACCGGTCAGTGGATGGACACCATTCAAACGTCTCTGTAAGGTATGTGATCCAGTCAGGTCACACAACGGCTGAGTTTGGTGCGTCAGATTTTGTAGGGCTATGTCCAGTTGTCCAGTCAACAACCATTACTCATTGTAGGGCTATGTCCAGTTGTCTAGTCAACAGCAATTTCCTACTTATTGTAGGCAAAGGCGGGGGTGCGGTCCGCATCGGGTGGCACCATTTAGGAGATGACACCATGTCTAGGTCTATGTACGTCTATATATATGGTATATATGGTATATATGGTATATATATATATATATATATATATATATATATATATATATATATATATATATATATATATATATATATACTTTTTTCCTGGGGTGGGGCGGGAAATGATACTATGAGGTGCCGCACCGGATGACACCCAACCTAGCGACACCACACTCCACAGTCAAAATGCCATTACTTATTGTATGGCTATTTGCAGGTTTCTAACCAATCTACTTAAACAATCTCTCCCTCCCCCCCCCCCCCCCACTCGCGACTTTTCTTTCTCCCTCGTTTCTTTTTCATTCTCCCCCTCTTTCCCTCCTTCTTTCTCTCCCTCTCTCTCTCTCTATCTCTCGCTCTCTCTCTCTCTCTCTCTCTCTCTCTCTCTCTCTCTCTCTCTCTCTCTCTCTCTCTCTCTCTCTCTCTCTCTCTTCCTCTCTTTTTTTCTACGAACCCTATAGATGTTTGGTCAACCAAAGAGACAAAAAAAATAAAATTAAACGTCGTTTCTATTTAAAAGACGGAGTGGTGTGTTAAATAAAGCAACAACCAAAGACCTAGGCCAAACAAAATGGCGGAGAGTGTTGACGATAGTGGACTACAACCCAAGGCTCAACAAGAGCCATCGAATGACCTTTCACAAGTGTGAGTATAAAAGTTGCACGATGACGTCATCAGCAGAGACGGCGGACTTGCTGTTGTTCAATGGTGCGAGAATGAAAGACGTCACTCTTCCGAAACGGTCGCCCAATCAAATGTGAGTTGTCGTCCTTGTATTTATTCACGCATCATTGTTTTTGTGAGTTGTGTTTCATTGTTATATAAAATAAATATAAAAACATATATTATTTAAAAAGCTTAAAATACATTAAAACAAGAAAATGACGTGAATTACCTTTAGCTACAGTAGTTAAAGTACTAAAATTATACCTGATTTTTTTTTCAAAGCCGAAGAACACCACTTAAGGCATAAACCGTTTGCTTATCGATCGTCTATTTGTCTAATTGTTTTTAGTAAAACATATCAATCGAATGATACTTTCACAAGATTTAGATTTATTGAATGTATACATAAATGATAAATAAATAAATAAATAAATAATAGCCTATAAGCCTATATATGGCATATATATGGCATATGTATGGAATATATATATATATATATATATATATATATATATATATATATATATATATATATATATATATATATATATATATATATATATATATATATATATATATATATATATATATATATATGGGTGACACCCTGAGCAATGGCACCGAGATCTACCCGACCTAGAGACGCCAGTAAGCCCTCGCTACCAAACACAAACCTCTTGCACGCAGCTGGCTGATGTACTCCAGAGAACCGCTCGCAGCCAGTCCATTCCTCGGGTTAGATCGAGATGACCTCAGGTGGTCAGTCAACTGGACAAAAACTCATCTTAAGGACTCGACCTTTCCATGCTCGTACGGCGTCCTCACCCAGCGACCAGCGCCCCAACTGGACTACGGTGAGGTTAAAGTTCACTTCGAAAATTTGAAAATCAAAACTGATATGAGGTTTAATATGATTTATATATATATATATATATATATATATATATATATATATATATATATATATATATATATATATATATATATATATATATAAATACTAGCGTACCCGTCCCCGCGCGTTGCCGCGGGAATAGAAGAAAGTCCGACGAAATATATAAGAAGGGTTTTATCCATGGGTTACCAATCCTATATTCTTAGACGCGTGACCTTGTTTCTAAAAGTGAGTTATTTAAATGTAAACAATGCCTGCGCTTGGATCATAAATATCGGGACACGGGTTTACCTACACTACCGCATGAAAACCTTGAGTGTACTCACCGAAATAATGAGGTAGAACTTACTTCGGTGACCGCCCATGTGTCAGGGACGTAGAGAGGCGCTCTCAGGAGCCCCCCCCCCCCCCCCCAATTACACTACCGCATAGGCGCCGCGTACGGCCATGGCTCCTTAGGTTAACCCAGAGTGCCAAATATCATCCTGTTAACAATGATTCAGAAAGCATCATTCGCTTCAGTGACACAAATGGACAGGATTTTTTCTTTAACACGTAAACAAATTATTTGACCTGTTTTAAACATCAGTGTCACTGATGCAATATATTAGCGTTACTAATGGTCTATTGTTAGATGCTCGATCTCAATTTCTGATTGGATCGTCTAAAAATAGATACTAATTGCATCATTCGCAAAGTGACTAAACTATTAGGATTTTTTTAAGGACAAAAAGAAACATCCCAGTTAATAATCTATGGTGCTGATCACACTATCATTTCGGTGACCGGAAAGATTCGCACAACGGAAACTGCGCACAAATAGTGAAGTAGAGCTTTTTTGTTATCTTAACTCGAGCATTTATAGACATTAATAAAGTACATTGTAGCATGATAAACATATTTCCACGAAGTATAACCAATTTAAAGAATATTAGTAAAATTAGTATGTATACGCGCATCTTTTTTTTTAATCTGTGCACAGTTTAAAGCAGTCACCGTGTGGGTGACGAGGGGGGGAGAGTTACATTAGCTCAACGTTGCAATATATATGCCTGAGGAAAACGGTTTGGTTGAGAATTGTAATAAGCTATATGTAAATCCATGTATGGGGTGGGGGTTGGGGTAAAAAAAACTAAATACATCCAGCAGGAAAAAAATATTTGAATACATATACACATGCGTATACACACTCCAGTGGCGCCGCCCTTGCGAAATTAAAAAAGATTTCTTTTTACAGAACCCTTCCCCAGAGTGTTCTAATGAACTCACCGAAGTTTGATGGCGATCGGATGAATGGTGTCAAAATAAAAAATCTACTTTTGTTTTTGTATATACCGTATATAGAGAAAAACAAATCGCGCCCTGCCGGGGCGCCACCCCTGCGAATTTGAATTTTTTTTCGCAGAAACCTCCCCAGGAATATTCTCAACAACTTCCCAAAGTTTCACGGTGATGTAATGAGAGGTGTAGTAATGGATAAAGGACAAACAAACAGACAAACACACACACACACAAACATACATTGCTTTATATATATATATATAAAGATATATAGAGATATATAGAGAAAAATCGCGCACTCCCGTGGCGCCGCCTTTGCGAAATTAAAGATGATTTTTTTTAAAGAACCCTTTCCTAGAGTGTTCTAATTAACTCACCAAAGTTTCATGCCTATTGGATGAACGGTGTCAAACCAAAATCGACTTTTATTTTTATATACCGCACATAGAGAAGAAAAACAAATTGCGCCCTGCCGGGGCGCCACTCGTGCGAATTTGAATTTTTTTATTCACAGAAACCTCCCCAGACATATTCACAACAACTTCTCAAAGTTTCACGACAATGTGATGAGAGGTGTAGTAATGCAGAAAAGACAGACACACAGACAGACAGGCATATATATATATATATATATATATATATATATATATATATATATATATATATATATATATATATATATATATATATATATATATATATATATATATATATATATATATTAAAAAACACCATTGGAGACTCATCGAACATTTCTGTGGAACACTATACTTACAGAAGAGATTTACCGCCAGAAGAAGTATGACGTAGCCTGGTTCGTAAGTCACTGCCAAACCTTATCACGTCGTGAGGACTACGTCAGGCGCATGACGTCACGCGTGAACGTGCACGTGTACGGCGCGTGTGGTAACTACACCTGTGGAGACAGGGGCTACGCCATGGGCGGGAGCAAAGACATGTGTCTCGAACTGCTGTCTCGAAATTACAAGTACGGTAAACTGTGTGACATTATTTATTTTATATATCTTGTGATACATCCCATTCAATCCCATAGAAAGACATTTTACCCACCCCTACTCAACATTCCGCATACATACTTAAAACAAAAGGGCCTTGAATCAACCCCACTCACCAAAGATTACAATATTTAGCGAACGACGAAAATGTATGTAATTACTTTCTCGTATATACGTAGTATAGAGAAAGTATTGTAATCGTGCAAAAAAAAATCGAGATTTTTACAAATCTCGACGTTTTACACCTCACTGATACGGAAAAACATAATTTTGCAATCTTGTCCGTATGTCTGTGTGTCTGTGTGTCCGTGTGTAAACACGATAACTTGAGTACCGTTACAGCTAGGCTGGTGAAATTTCATATATAAGTATTTTATCAAAATCGTAGATCCGTATCAACTTTTGAGCGAATTCCGATAACCGGAAGTGGTACTTTTTCTACTTTGAATTTTTCAAAAGCCTATAACTTGAGTACTATTTCAGATAGATAAATGAAATTTGATATGTAAGTAAAAGAGCTAATTCTCTACCTTCTGTCAAATTTTGAGTAATTTCCGTTGACCGGAAGTACTTATTTACGCTATTTCCGATTTCTCAAAAAACGCATGTAAATTTATAAAGTACTAATAATATTGCGCACTATTATGCGCTTTTTTATTTAGCGTTCACTTGGTGTGCATTTCTTTTTTCTACGAGATTATATTCTATTTTAAGAAATGTGAGTATTTAAAATGGATTAAAAATCATGTCTAGAAGTCTATATCCCGAGTTGCCATCCCCTGTAGTGTTATATTAGAATATTCGAGAAAGTTTAGGGGAGATCACTCCCGGTTTATTTTTTAACATTTTTGAAAGCACACATTTTAGAGAAGGTTGAAGCTGTCGCTGAGATCTCAATGTAGCGCATTTTAAGAACTGTAGAAAAAAATTCATAAAAAACGTTTTAATAACAAGCTTTTATGTAATGATGCACTAAAAAGTAGAAAATAAATTATAGACTACTATTTAAATAACTATAAAGAAAAGCGTGGGTCACTTTAGTATCTATTGGATACCTTTACTAATGTTAAGGAAGACACCCACGCTTTTCTTTATAGTTATTTAAATAGTAGTCTATAATTTATTTTCTACTTTTTAGTGCATCATTACATAAAAGCTTGTTATTAAAACGTTTTTTATGAATTTTTTTTCCAGTACTTTACATGTTTTATTTACAATAGAGTTACATGACTAAAAACCATTGCGCGCCTACTGAACATCACGTTCAGTAGGCGCGCAATGGTTTTTGAACGCAGCCATTGAAGCTATTGAAGGTGATGACGCGTGTGGTGTGGTTGGCTAGACATGCCTACTAATTCGGTCCAAATTTTTATTAATTCATAAAAAATTAATTAGGCATCCAATTAAGTCAAATTTAGTTTCAGATTGCATTGTCTTCATGTCTTGACCCACGTGCCAACTGTGAATCGTATCGGTCAAGTAGAACTGTCCGAATTTTCACTCCTGCGTTTCTGTCTAGACTGACGACTGACGAGGAAGTGAGTTAAATAAAAGCTTGTAATAAAAAAATTCATAAAAAACGTTTTAATAACAAGCTTTTATGTAATGATGCACTAAAAAGTAGAAAATAAATTATAGACTACTATTTAAATAACTATAAAGAAAAGCGTGGGTCACTTTAGTATATATTGGATACCTTTACTAATGTTAAGGAAGACACCCACGCTTTTCTTTATAGTTATTTAAATAGTAGTCTATAATTTATTTTCTACTTTTTAGTGCATCATTACATAAAAGCTTGTTATTAAAACGTTTTTTATGAATTTTTTTTCAGTACTTTACATGTTTTATCTACAATAGAGTTACATGACTAAAAACCATTGCGCGCCTACTGAATATCACGTTCAGTAGGCGCGCAATGGTTTTTGAACGCAGCCATTACGTGGTCGTGATGGCGCAGCTATTGATGACGCGTGTGGTGTGGTTGGCTAGACATGCCTACTAATTCGGTCCAAATTTTAATTAATTCATAAAAAATTAATTAGGCATCCAATTAAGTCAAATTTAGATTCACATTGCATTGTCTTCATGTCTTGACCCACGTGCCAACTGTGAATCGTATCGGTCAAGTAGAACTGTCCGAATTTTCACTCCTGCGTTTCCGTCTAGACTGACGACAGACTGTCGACAGACAGAGGAAGTGAGTTAAATAAAAGCTTGTAAAAATAAATTATAGACTACTATTTAAATAACTATAAAGAAAAGCGTGGGTCACTTTAGTATCTATTGGATACCTTTACTAATGTTAAGGAAGACACCCACGCTTTTCTTTATAGTTATTTAAATAGTAGTCTATAATTTATTTTCTACTTTTTAGTGCATCATTACATAAAAGCTTGTTATTAAAACGTTTTTTATGAATTTTTTTTTCAGTACTTTACATGTTTTATTTACAATAGAGTTACATGACTAAAAACCATTGCGCGCCTACTGAACATCACGTTCAGTAGGCGCGCAATGGTTTTTGAACGCAGCCATTGAAGCTATTGAAGGTGATGACGCGTGTGGTGTGGTTGGCTAGACATGCCTACTAATTCGGTCCAAATTTTTATTAATTCATAAAAAATTAATTAGGCATCCAATTAAGTCAAATTTAGTTTCAGATTGCATTGTCTTCATGTCTTGACCCACGTGCCAACTGTGAATCGTATCGGTCAAGTAGAACTGTCCGAATTTTCACTCCTGCGTTTCTGTCTAGACTGACGACTGACGAGGAAGTGAGTTAAATAAAAGCTTGTAATAAAAAAATTCATAAAAAACGTTTTAATAACAAGCTTTTATGTAATGATGCACTAAAAAGTAGAAAATAAATTATAGACTACTATTTAAATAACTATAAAGAAAAGCGTGGGTCACTTTAGTATATATTGGATACCTTTACTAATGTTAAGGAAGACACCCACGCTTTTCTTTATAGTTATTTAAATAGTAGTCTATAATTTATTTTCTACTTTTTAGTGCATCATTACATAAAAGCTTGTTATTAAAACGTTTTTTATGAATTTTTTTTCAGTACTTTACATGTTTTATCTACAATAGAGTTACATGACTAAAAACCATTGCGCGCCTACTGAATATCACGTTCAGTAGGCGCGCAATGGTTTTTGAACGCAGCCATTACGTGGTCGTGATGGCGCAGCTATTGATGACGCGTGTGGTGTGGTTGGCTAGACATGCCTACTAATTCGGTCCAAATTTTAATTAATTCATAAAAAATTAATTAGGCATCCAATTAAGTCAAATTTAGATTCAGATTGCATTGTCTTCATGTCTTGACCCACGTGCCAACTGTGAATCGTGTCGGTCAAGTAGAACTGTCCGAATTTTCACTCCTGCGTTTCCGTCTAGACAGACAGACTGACGACTGACGAGGAAGTGAGTTAAATAAAAGCTTGTAAAAATTCATAAAAAACGTTTTAATAACAAGCTTTTATGTAATGATGCACTAAAAAGTAGAAAATAAATTATAGACTACTATTTAAATAACTATAAAGAAAAGCGTGGGTCACTTTAGTATCTATTGGATACCTTTACTAATGTTAAGGAAGACACCCACGCTTTTCTTTATAGTTATTTAAATAGTAGTCTATAATTTATTTTCTACTTTTTAGTGCATCATTACATAAAAGCTTGTTATTAAAACGTTTTTTATGAATTTTTTTTTCAGTACTTTACATGTTTTATTTACAATAGAGTTACATGACTAAAAACCATTGCGCACCTACTGAACATCACGTTCAGTAGGCGCGCAATGGTTTTTGAACGCAGCCATTACGTGATGGCGCAGCTATTGAAGGTGATGACGCGTGTGGTGTGGTTGGCTAGACATGCCTACTAATTCGGCCCAAATTTTAATTAATTAATAAAAAATTAATTAGGCATCCAATTAAGTCAAATTTAGTTTCAGATTGCATTGTCTTCATGTCTTGACCCACGTGCCAACTGTGAATCGTGTCGGTCAAGTAGAACTGTCCGAATTTTCACTCCTGCGTTTCTATCTAGACAAACTGTCGACAGACTGTCGACAGAGGAAGTGAGTTAAATAAAAGCTTGTAAAAACTAGCAGATTTTTTGTCTTGCACTTTTTTTACTTTCTTGTATACGAAGTAATCGTGCTAAAAATTGAAATCGATATTTTTATAAATCTTGACGTTGAATACCTTCCTCAGTCGGAAAAAAAATAGTTTTGCAGTTTTGTCTCTATACACGTGTTTCTGTCCGACTGTCTGTCTGTGAACAGTCTATATTTCATATTTAAGCATTATATCAAATGTGGTTCCATATCAACTTTTGAACGATTTCCGGTAAACGGAAGTGGTACTTAGTCTACTTCCGGTTTCTCAAAAGCTAATAGCCAGAGCACCGGTTAAGTTAGATAAAGGAAATTTCAAATATAATTATTACATTGTATGTTCATATGTTTCTGTCAAGTTTTGAACTATTTCCGGTAACTCATTTCCGCATGGAACCTATAATTTGAGTACAGTTTCACTTGTGTTAACGAAATTTCATATAGATCTATATGTATAACATTAACATCTTATACTTTAAATTAGTTACATTTTTTTTTAAACTTTGATAAACGGAAGAGTTACTTTAATGTGTTTCTTGTTTCTTAAATAATGATGACTTGAGTGCCGTTTCAGTTATTTAAAAGAAATTTTACACAGAGGTATAAGATCTTATTCTCTTAATTCTCTTAAACATATTATACTGTTCTAATTTTAAAATATAATCTACGAGAAAACGAGAAAGTTTATGGGAGATAACTCCATCTTTAAAAAAAACAACTTAAATTCTGTTTTTTTTTCTGTTTTTGTCTTTTTCTTTTAAATTTTAAGTTATAACGGTTTTGTTATTCGTGTATGCCTATTATTTTTTTTTTGACCAAAAATTTCGTCCTTATTTTTATGATTTTTTTTTTGAGCAATGGGCAGTTGATTTTGGGGCAGTGGCGGCGCCAGGTTATTTAGCGCCCTAGGCAAAACTTATTAAAACGCCCACTTTCGCACAAATTAATTACTAAAACATATGTATGAGAAAACAATTTATTAAAAGTGACATATTAATTTATTGTCCGTTGCATAGACATTATAAGGGGTCATCCATAAATGACGTCACGCTTTTTTTGACGATTTTTACCTCCCCCCTCCCTTCCGTCACACATCGTCACAAAAAGCCAGACCCCCCCCCCCCTAAAATGACGTCACATCTCAGCCTACAACCCCCTCAAAATTGCTTGTGAATTTTCTTTTAAACATCGATCGATATTTTCCCAGAATCTTGTCAGAACCCTGTCAAAATAGAGTATTTTAATCAATTCCTATTGCAATTTATTAAAACAGTTTTCTAAAACGCGAATTAACGGCTAAAACTCGTTTTCTAACATTGCTTTTTTATAATGCAAAAGTGTGACGTCACACCATCTGAACCTCCCCCCTCCCCCTCATCACACACCGTCACAAAATTACGGACCACCCCCGTCCCCCCTACGAGTGTGACGTCATTTATGGACGACCCCTAAGTCGACATCAATCAAAATCAATTTTTTGCAAGCGTAATCACATTTTATTGAAATTGTTCCTAAGTCCACCAGTCTACTTTGTACTTTACGATATAGCCCACCCCCACCCCCCTGAGAAAATTTCAAATGTCTTTAGTTATAATTGTAAAATGTCTATATTGTTGTGTGATTAAGTAACGATTTTTTTAAAAAAAAAAAAAAAAGGTTATCAATGTAATAAATTCCAGCCTACCATTGTTATATATGAATCCTTTAGGAGAGAGTTTTAAAAATATGAAAAAGACACTTAATAATAAGATGATTAATTTGCGACTTAGACGATTTTAGACGCATTTGTTGCATTATCTCTGCTAATATTTTTTAAAGTATTAAGTATTCCAATCTACAACGGCTACTGGTGTATTTGTTTTTCAACTAGATAATGCTAAAAATATCTACTAAACTATTTGTTTAGAACTTCTGCTTTATACATACTTTACAATAGCATATAATGACTTTAAGTTGTATTTAAAAGTAAGCGGTCAACCTAAGGTGCAGAAATTTGAAATGAAAATGCAACGAATTATCTCCCATTTGAAAATCCGAATACCAAAGTTTTATTCAAGGGAAATAGCTTACACAATTATAGCTAAATTGACCAAGTGGAACTATGACATTCTTGGAAATCACAATAAAACGATCTAAATTTCATTACCTAATAATTATAACAAATCTTTTATATCAATTATTCTATTGGGTCTACAAAATATATTTTAATCATTGACTACTTAACTGTAGGTTTTGTTTGAAAGTTTAAACACGGTAGCTTTATTATAACATACTTCTAGTCAAGTTTGATGACATATGTTTAACGTGTGTTCCCTGAATCATACCACTCAAATTATTAGATTTTCGCCCCAAAAAAAAAAAAAAAAAAAAAAAAAAATATATATATATATATTTTTATATATATATATATATATATATATATATATATATATATATATATATATATATATATATATATATATATATATATATATATAAAAGACGCCTTAAAACAATCAAATTCGCTTAACTTTAAGACATTGCTCTACTATAAGTATTGATTAAATATTTTTTTAAATCATAATTTGGAGAAACATAGTTACGGTTAGTTATATAGTTATACATTCAAATTCCCAAATCAAAACGATTCATCAAAACTTACTAAACAAGTACAATACTTTGAACACCCCGTCATTACAAAACTCTATACACCAGAACAGATTTCTAATTCAAAGTCAGAGAAAGCATGACTTACAACTTACAAATCCTATTTAAAAACCAAAATTGCAGGTGTTTTGAAACGCCCCGTCATGCGCTGGAGCGATCACTAAATCAACTTAAAAAATTAGATAACTGTGTGAATTGTTCGAAATTTAAATTACAAACCTATTTAATCGTTTTCTACATCAATTATGTTACACCAAAATAAAAAGGCAAAGTGACTGGTAAAAAGCGCACCGACCCTTCCAAGTTAAGGAGGTGGGGTTGCATTTTCACCATCGCGAATAAATGTAGGCCTATATAGACCTAATTTTGGGGTGGGGGTGCAAAATTGATAGTTCGTCCTGGGCGTCAAAATAGATCGCTATTCCTTTGTATATTACCATCTGTAATTTATAAAAGATAATCAAAGTTATTAATTATTAGGTACTTTTGGATAATAGCGATTAAACCTTTTTGAGCCCCCCTAGGGATGGCGCCCTGGGCGACCAGTGTTTCGTCCAGACTTTTTTCTCCGCGGGGGGGGGGGAGTTTTCGGGGGGGGGGGGGGACACTGTTAAAAGTATATATTTTCTATATAAATTTCATTTTGTTCGGGGGGGGGGGGGCGGTAGACCCGAAGAGATGCCTGGAAGAAACTCTGCAGGCGACCGCCTAGTTCGCCTTATAGATCTAGGTAGCGCCGGCCCTGTTTTGGGGACAGTGTTTCTTCCAGACTTTTTTCTCCGGGGAGGGGCACTTGAAATTTTCGGGGGGGGGGGGGCGGTAGACTTTCTTCGGGGGGGGGGGGGGGGCGGACACTGTTAAAAGTATATATTTTATATATAAATTATATAAATTTCATTTCGTTCGGCGGGGGGGGCGGGGGGGGGGTAAAAAAAAGCCCCCCCCCCCCCCCGAAGAGATGCCTGGAAGAAACTGTTTGGGGATATCGGCCTTGGTGAAGAACGAGTAATCGACCCTAGACCCCAATCAATACCGATAAAATCTCCCATAGCCATAACATTGTCCAATAACTACAAGAAATTTGACAGATGAGCGTGTTATGCCCGACATAGATGAGATCGGTTGTGGATTGAAAGGAATGGTGGTGGCGGTGGGCTAACATGGCAGCTAACCAGGGCCCTCGGGCTGTACTGTCCTCAAGGTGCTTTTGTATAGTTAGAACAATAGCCGTTGTAATATAATAATCACAAGGGCACTGACTAAGTGGTTTTTTTTGTTTTTTTTTTGTTTTGTTTTTTTGGCGTTTTAGAAGTTAATATCAGGCGATATACTTTAAAAAAAAATAGATTAAAAATTTGATAATCCATTTTTCTCTTCTTGTTGTGTTACAGGTTTTATTTATCTTTCGAGAATTCCTTCTGTCGAGATTACATCAGCGAGAAATTCTTCAACCTATATCCCGACATCCACGTCATACCAGTCGTCAGGGGCGGGGCTGATTATTCAACGGTGGCTCCTCCTAATGCAATCATAGACGCCAAAGATTTCAAAACTCCTGAGGATCTTGGTCAGCATTTACACAATCTGGCACGTGATAAAAATCAATACCTGGCCATGTTAAAAAATAAAAATAGGTCAGTTGCTTAAAATATTTTTTCTGTCGTGCTTTGTTTGCAGTTCACCAACTATTTTTTGGCCCCCTCCTTAATATGGCTTGCCAAAGTTCTATTGCCTAATGAAATTAGACTTTGATCACTTGTTGAGTTAACTTTGATATTGTCTCCCATCTGTGATGGAGCACTTTAGCAGAAGATGACAAAACGGCCTGACATGATGGTACATTATAATTTATTAAATAGTATGAAAATGGTTCCGATAGAAGGGATCCGACAATATGGCTTCTGACAAAATGGCCCACGACGACTCCTATTCCCACATTAACTGCCAAAAACTAGACAAAGATTGCTATGAAAACCTGTACCTCAAGTTACATATTCACAGATTACCTGCCAAAAACTAGACAAAACTTGCTATGAAAACCTCTACCTCATGTTACATATTCACAGATTACCTGCCAAAAACTAGACAAATCTTGCTATGAAAACCTCTACCTCATGTTACATATTCACAGATTACCTGCCAAAAACTAGACAAATCTTATTATGAAAACCTGTACCTCATGTTACATATTCACAGGTTAACTGTCCGGCAACAGAGCAACTTTGCCTGTGACCTTTGTAAAGCCCTCCACACAAGGTCACCACAGAACGTGTACCCGGACATTTTTAAGTGGACACGGCGGCCAGGCGTCTGCTGGGAACCACAGGACTTATGAATGTTTTTTCCAGTACAACATCTGCTCGTTTTTTTAAGATGGGGGGGGGGGGCCATAAATGAACCAACTGCCTAATTTAACAACCCAAAAAAATGGTTTTTAGATATTATGGTGCAACAAATACTTTCATTTTACTATTTTAGCTAAAACCTAGAGCAAATTTATGTTTCCTTATTATTTTTACATTATATTTGAACAGCTTTTTGTTATTCTAAAGCTATAATACTTGTTTTATTTCTAACTACCCCAACTGACAATCTACAAAACAAAAAATAAAACTCAATGGGATACAACTTTTGCTAGAATTTCTTTTTTAATAAATAAAAATTTATTATAGAAGTAAAAAGTTTTTATTAGTCAACAATACATAAATTACATACAACAATAACAATGTTTTTTAAAAAAGCAAAAATTTGTAAACTACCTACTACTATTAAAAATTCAATCTGCTATTGCTTAAAACCTTTTAAAATAACCACACAAAAAATTATATGAAAATAAAGGGTAAATATTTTAAATAAGAATAATTTTAAAACTTTTAAGATAATGGTTTGTATCATGTTTTTGCTACTAAACTAATTTGTTTTATCAGCTTCTTAAACAAATCACTGTTGTGATCCACGTGTGCAGTAAAACTAATTTACATTGTTCTATTGGTAAATTCTAAACTTATTTTAAACAATTTTATTTGAATTAAAAAACATTTGTTTCAATGTTTCTTACAAAGGTGTATTTAAAACCAACTGTCAGTTTGGGTAACTCTGCCTTATAAAACTGTCAAAATTTGGGTAACTCTGCCTTATAAAACTGTCAAAGTTTGGGTAACTCTGCCTTATAAAACTGTCAAAATTTGGGTAACTCTGCCTTATAAAACTGTCAAAGTTTGGGTAACTCTGCCTTATAAAACTGTCAAAGTTAGGGTAACTCTGCCTTATAAAACTGTCAAAATTTGGGTAACTCTGCCTTATAAAATTGTCAAAATTTGGGTAAATCTGCCTTATAAAACTGTCAAAGTTTGGGTAACTCTGCCTTATAAAACTGTCAAAGTTTGGGTAACTCTGTCTTATGTCAAAGTTTGGGTAACTCTGCCTTATAAAACATACTAAAGGAGTACAACTCAAGCCAAAGAACGGCAAAAACTGTGTCAGAAAACTTGACAAAATGACAGCGACAGTAACTGGGTGTGGTAAACATATGGCCTGCTATCCTACCTTCAGCAGCAAACCTAAAACACACAGAACAACAACAGTTAAAACTAGTACATCAGTTAACATTTAACAAGAATTGTTAAAATAGAACAATATTGACCAAAGGAAAGTAGTTGGTAATAAAAATAGGACAATTGAATTCCAGCATTTTTGTGGGACAACTGTTATCGAGTGCTGTGGATCTGAGTTAAAAAAACGACATCGAAAAGTTTAAAGCATGTCTACTATTAATTATTTAAGCATTTATTTCAATTAATGAAGTAAAACAAGGTAATTAAAAAGTCTAGTGACAATTTTAGCGCAATTTCCTTATGTTATCTAAAAATAGCTCTGTCGTAGCGTAAATCAAGAGCAGGGTTAGTAAAACCATTGGTTAGTTATTAAAACGTTTTTTATTAAAAAAAATTTCAGTATTTTACATGTTTTATTTACAATAGAGTTACATGACTAAAAACCATTGCGCACCCACTGAACGTGATGGCGCAGCCATGGAACGCGATGGCGCAGCTATTGAACGTGATGACACATGTGGTGTGGTTGGAAAAAATGCCTACTAATTCGGTCCAAATTTTAATTAATTCAAAAAAAATTTTGTGACCGAACGAAAGGATATTTTTGAAAACTTTCTTCGGCAATATTGTTCTAAATTATGGCAGGAATCGATTGGTAAAAGTTTCAAGTCGCTAAGTGGTCTGGTTGCCGAGATATGGGCCAAAAACTGCATTTTTTCGTGGTTTTTTGGCTTTTCCGGGAAATCCAGGAAGGAAACCCGGGAATTTTTTTGACCTATGTTCATCCTCGGAACTTGCTTAACAAAATTGCTTTTGGAACTAGTCATCGATATTGCTTCGTTGAGGAGGAGATACGATGAAAGCTGCGGACACACATCCATCCATTCATACATTCATACATCCAGAAATGACGGGTTAATAAACGCAATTCTCCAGAATGGAAATTGCGCTAAAAAACATAAAGGTGGACTAGAGGGCTATCACATACTAATAACAACTACTTAAAGAGCAACTAATACGAATCAGAGCTTCCCTTACCTGGCTAAGCAGAAGTTGGGAAGGGCCTCAAACTGATCAAAGACCTGAAAGGGTAAAGAAAATGGCTGCCTCTGGTCAGTGTTAAGGCTGTTTGCATTGAAGAGCGCCTGGAAGCTGGCATCGGTCAGCCGACTGTCCGCCTCGAGCAGTGAGTCCAGGGACTGCTGGTCATCTAGGGTGAGCACCATGGGTTTCTTCAGGAAGATGGTGACACTCACGTTACCAGCTGGTACGTTGGGATCACCCTGAGGGCAGGTTCATTAAAACTTACACACAGGTGTACTAAATGGTTAACATGGCACGTCTGTTAAACATAGAGCTTCTTTCTGTTGTATTACTATTGATGTAAGTTAAAACAAGATAACTCTTTTTTTTTTAACTTTTAAACATGTTTCAGCTTTAAATGTCTTACACTTATTTTAAGGCCCTCAATGACAAAAGGATCATTTTCTTTAAACATGAAGTTTAGAATTTCAACTCCGTGGGGGCCATAGCTTGCTGTGTACAGGCCCAGCTTTATGGGGGCTTGTTCATCTCTTGAGGGGAAACTAAGGGGAAGTAATGGCAGGTTGGACCTGAAAGGGAAGTAACAACATATTTACCAGTTTTGTCCTTTTCATTAAAAAACAAGATTAAAATAATGAATGAAACAACACTATTGACACGTTTGTTTTGTATATTGATTTTTACTTTCTCGTATATACGTAGTATAGAGAAAGTATTGTAATCGTGCAAAAAAAAAAATCGAGATTTTTACAAATCTCGACGTTTTACACCTCACTGATACGGAAAAACATAATTTTGCAATCTTGTCCGTATGTCTGTGTGTGTGTGTGTGTGTGTCTGTGTGTCCGTGTGTAAACACGATAACTTGAGTACCGTTACAGCTAGGTTGATGAAATTTCATATATAAGTATTATATCAAAATCGTAGATCCGTATCAACTTTTGAGCGATTTCCGACAACCGAAAGTGGTACTTTTTCTACTTTGAATTTTTCAAAAGCCTATAACTTGAGTACTATTTCAGATAGATAAATGAAATTTCACATGTAAGTAAAAGATCTAATTCTCTACCTTCTGTTAAATTTTGAGTAATTTCCGTTGACCGGAAGTAGTAATTTACGCTACTTCCGATTTCTCAAAAAACTAATGTAAATTTTAAAAGTACTAATAATATTGCGCACTATTATGCGCTTTTTTATTTCGCGTTCACTTGGTGTGCAATTAATTTGTCTACGAGATTTTATTCTATTTTTAAAACTTTAAGTATTTAAAATGGATTAAAAATCATGTCTATAGCCCGAGTTCCCATCCCCTGTTATTTTATATAAAAATATTCGAGAAAGTTTAGGGGAGATCACTCCCGGTTTATTTTTTTAAATGTGTTTAAAATAATGTAATGAAGTTAGGACTGTAGCATTTTTCTGTGCAAGTGAACAAAGATGTCTTACAACTCATGAAAGTGGCAAATCTACTATAGGTTAAATCTCCAGACTTTTTACCATATATTTTAAGCCAATGCGTGAAATCTCTCTCTTATTTTATAATTTTTCAACTAAAAACACTGTATACAATGGACATGTAACATTAAAAAAATATGTTATAGAAAAAAGTTTTGGGCAAGGCGTGATCAGACACTAACAGCTTTACTTTGTCCTCAATGAATCAAAAGTTTTGATAATTACAGAAATGAAATATAATTTCAAATATATTTACTACATAAAAATAAATAAAAACAAGATCCATAATAAAATGCCAAAGTATTACTTAATACATGAAACCTTTAACCAAAAGGTAAAACCAGACAATGAAAACATACCCTGTTATCAAATTACACCCATGAAATGCATCAGGATGGTCTAGAAACCCTCTGGGAAACTTGCTGTTTGATTTGTATTGATTTCTACTGCTCTGTGGAAAGATTATAAACTCATTGAATTGTAAATATTATTTCAGGTCCTTCCAGCTTTCATATGGTAAAACAAGACACAGTTCTTTTTCAGACAACAATTTTCACTAGGGCAGATAGAGTAGAGTTCAGCTCTTGCTGTGACCTTAGGTCACCCTTTACTTTCCCTTCTTGTCAAACACCTGACTGGCTTCAGTACAGATACTCAGAGTGAGGCTTTTGAACTCTACCTCATATTAAAGCAGAGAATAATAAAATCACCAAAGAAAACAGTTTTAATAAATGCGGCATATACGTGTGAAGTACCATACCAAAAAGTTCCATTTAACTATCAATACAGTTTTAATATGTTTAAAAATACCTAAAATTAAATGTTTATATAACACTTTCCATGTTGAATTTTTAATTTTTATCAGTGCATGTTGTATGCAGGGATATTCCTACTATGAATTTAGTTTTGTTTTTCTAAATACGTTACTCAAATTTTTTAAAATAAATAACAATTTCTTGCATATTTGTTAAAGAGTGTATTAAAACTAAATGCTATTTCTACATTACTGTAATACCTTATGGCTATGATCATCAAGGCACTGTACCAACGGGTAGTTGCCATTCTATAAAAAAAGTAAAATTATACGGTTTAATTTTATTTGGTCTTATGAATACAGCAGGACAATACCGTAGTCTCTATCTTACTTGGAATTAGATTATGAACTGGGCTTAGGAGATGATCTATACAGTAAACTTCTATGACATTTAGCTCTCTTCTCTGTTCCACCTGATGTTCCTTACCTGAGTTAATGAGCTGAGCTTAGGACCTGATCTATGCTGCATACAGTAAACTTCTACGACATTTAGCTCTCTGTTCCACCTAATGGAGAAGAGCTGTTTACGCTTGAATGGCTGTTTAGCATCTTCTCTATGGGACGGTTTGTAAGCATTCACTTGAATTTCTCCTTCCGCCCACTGTAACCAAACATACCATCTGGTTAAGGTCCATAATCCTGATTGGTTTAATCACTATGTCTTTAGGTTGAAACTAAATATTTATTTCACCAATTTGCCAATGATTTAAAAAGCTCTTATTATTTGAATCAGTAATTTTCTTTGGAGTGTAACATTTAAATTTAAAAACACATTTTAATATATTTACTCATGTATTGTATCAACCCTCTCTTCAGTAAGATTTAACACTTTTGAAATACTCACACAAACATGAACCAGTCCTCCATAGGGCAGTAAGGCTAAACGCTTCCAACCAAGGAAATCACACTTTTTTAAAACTGAAAATTTTTAGCAAAAAAAAGTGACTTTTGACTAAATGTAGACATCATAATTAGTGTTTAAATTTTTTTAATACCATGAGACAGTTTAAAGTTATAAAACAGAAAGGCTTATAATGGAATTAAACATAGCGCAACTGCAATAATATAACAATATATATAGAAGCAGACAGTTATAATAAAAATAATTATCATTTTGGAATAAAAATTTTGGTTCCCACAAAAATGCTTAAGTAAACAGACGAATGCATGTATAGTCCAATACTCATTATACTGAGACGGTGTCATTAGGTCATATTTCTTCAAGGAAAGGTGTTTTATCATGCTACATTTTACATGTGGTCATTCTTTGCTAAACGAATGTTATCATTCATGTTATATATATATATAAATTTATAAAGATATAAGCCTATAGCCTATATCATACTTCATACTATATGATATTGCCTATTATTGCTTAAGTTAAGTATGCTTAATGTTTCCACTCTACCTTTTGTGTAGATATCACGGTAAGTAATATTCCATCCAGATGAGCTGTTCACATTGTAATCTGAAAATATTTTAATTCATTGTTTCAATGACAATAACAATGTTATGTGTGTTTACAAAGGTCTTAGACGTTTTTATAGCCTGTAAATATGTTATAGCCACTAGTTAAAAGAGCAGCCTATCAAAGTCCTTAACAAAGAAGGACTTATTTGTCCTGAGAGTGAGGAAGGTCCTGTCTAAAGGACAACATTCACAAGAAAACTAAGTTGACTCAATTACCCTACAAGTCAAATTTTTTTTGGTACATTTCTACATTATAAAGTAACTGTTTAGTCTGAATTACAACTTTTAGCATTATCGATTTTTTATACTAGTGTCCAATAATAGAATCTTCTTAAAATAGACGAGATTACAAAGCTACAAGCAACCTAACACACTTAGCATATTTTCGGAAGAGTCTATTATTGGACTATAAGCAATAGATTACGGCTCAAAAAGAAATTGCTGTTTCAAAAAACAATAATGGTTGTAAGCGGAAGGGGGTGTGACATCATTTTATTGGGTGAGGGGTCTGATATTTAGTGAAGATAGAGAAGGGGTGAGGGAGTAAGGATCATACCAAAGAACTAAATATTTATAAATTTACAAAAGACTAGATCTACCTTTCTGACAAAGAGCCTGCCATAATGATTCTATACTCGATATTTCATGAAGACGCCTGCATGTTTTGCTTAAACAAACTATTGCATTAACTTCAAGAAATGAAGTTATGTATTCTAAAAGTTCATTTGGAAGATCTAAAATGTTCATACTCAAAAAATTTTAATAGGCCTTACACATCACTGTGCACTAGATCTAAGATATATTAAATCAATAAATGTAACATAAAATGTAATGTACTAGACTATGGCGGGTGGTATTTTGAACTATTTTGTAGCCTGAATAGATAAAAATTATTATTAGATCTAATTAATTAGGCCTAGGCGTAATATAACAAGGCCTACTGTAAGTAAAGTGTAGGCCTAATAATATAGAATTAGGCCTTTACAATTAGTTAATTAATTAATTATAAATAGAATAAGATCTAGATATTCTAGGATTATTCATAATTTCTAATAGACGTCTAGAAACTTTCTATAATTTTATTTTCTAAGCTGTAGTCACTGTATCTATAGGTCTAGATCTAGAATTCTACATCTAGCTAGACTAGATCTAGATCATTAAATTAGTAAATATTAAAAGTGTAGGCTACTAAAGAAAGTGTAGTTAGGCCCAAGACTACCTAGATCTAGTACCTAGGCCTAGCAGCCTAGCTAGTAGGATCTCTACTCTATTTCAATTAATAATTACACAATTAGTTAATGCTATGAATTATGAGTGACTTATGACGATGACTACTATTGACTACTGACAGTAGTAGGCCTATAGAATATAGATCTACTCAAAGTCTACTATAATAATTATTAATATCGAAGCGACATTCGTTTCCAAGGCGCTAGCCTGACCTCCTACACCCTAAGCACCCACACGCCACATGCCCTACTACTACTACTGCAAGTACTAGGACAACACTGCACACTGCGGGTGCGCGTACGTCATAACAACACGCTAGCCGACACACACAGCACAACACACCGAAAGTCGCGAAAGAGGTGGCCTGGAACCAGACTTTTCGAAGCTTTAACTTTTCATAGAAGTATTAGAAGGTTTTGTCAATCCGTGTATGATATAAAATTATATATATTACAGTTTCGGTCTTGAAATTACAAAATACTAGATCTAGTCTAGATCTTACTTAATCTAATCTAGATTTAGATCTAGATCTAAATCTAGATCTAGATCTAGTCCCAATCCAAGCCCTGTATTTTGGTATTGTTTATATTTTGATTCGCTGTTTGTCAATAAAGGCAAGGGGTTCTGTTTACAATTTTTAAGACCAAATATTTCTGGTCCAAATCAAACTCATCGAACTGTATTGTAATATCAAGTAATAATAGTAATATGTAATATTATGTAAGTTATAGATTATAGATCTAATTATAAACTAAAATTAGCAGGTCTTTTTTGTGTCGTTTTATTAAATAATTAAGTTAATTTTTCAAGGCTAATTATTAATATAAAATATAAATCTAGATCTAGAATCTAGCTAAGCTAGTTACTAACTAAAGTTAGTAGGTCTAGTTAGTAGTAATAGTAGGTAGTTATTAATATTTATTAGGCCTAGTTATTGTAATTGTTAAGTATAAGTAATAAGTAGGAAGTCTATTTTCTATCTGTGCCCCCCCCCCCCCCCCCCCAAGTTATGTACCCATTAGAACTGGGTAGACACAGTGGTGTCCTGTTGACTCAAACCCAGCAATTTGAGTAATTGATGTCAAAACTTTTTCTAATCCTGTGCTTACAAAACTATTTTAAAGTTTTGGGACCCTGCTGAGTGATACTGGCTAAAAAACAGCAATTATGGAACATATTTGGGGTCAGCGTGGTCGAGTCGGTAAAGCTCATGGTTGTTAAACCGAAAAGACTCGAGTTCGAACCCTCGGGCAGATGAGGCTCGTTAGCTGGGGACAGCCACTCTTCTAGGAGAGACAACTCCAAAATTAAACAACTGCTGCCTTGTGGTTTGTTCTTGGTTGGACAAAGGCTATGGAAGCAAATCCAAAAAAGAAAAGCAGGCTGAAATCGGAGTCAATGGCCTCAATGGCGCATAACCAGTTGACACGTAACGCTTAATTGTGTTGGAGGCGTGGTCGAGTCGGCAAAAAGCTCATGGTTGATAAATTCGAACAAAGTCTCGAGTTCAAACCCACTAGCAGATAAATCTCGATCCCCTTCAACACTAATAATTAAGAACGAAGAAGAAGAAGAAGAATGAACATATTTAATACTTTCAGCTATATTACCTATCATTCATCTAACTATTCAAACAGGCAGTTTTTCTGGTACTATGCATCAATTAGTATAGGTTTATAGTTTATAGACATGAGATTAAGCCTGCAGTAATAGCGTAAAGGAGTCACATGATGTATTGAAATGAGAGACCAGCACTTTTTCTGTTATAGCTAAAGAATTATTTAAATGCTTGTTGTTATAGTTTTTTTTTCTTAACTTGTTTTAAGTTGTTACAAATGTGAACATACAAAATTACCTGCCCTTTGAGCAGTTCCAAGTCACAGCTCCCATCGATAATCCCCAATATTGAATTGACATTTCTCTAAAGGTCAGACCTAGCGACTTGGTCCAGGCTGTGATTGTTGTTAGTTTATCCTGTGCTTGTCACCGCTGCACCTTGTTTTCCACGGCCATGGTGACAATATGACCAGGCTCTAAGATGATGACTCTCTACCCTGTCAGGTATATTCAACACCTCTGTTACCTGTTTGACTCTAACTGCACCATCAACTATGACAACTCTGTGCCAATCTTTCCGCCAAGTCTTGTAAGTAACTAAACTTTCTCATTATATTGTATTTATTTGTCATTTGAGTAGATTTTATTTTCATTTTTTTAAAAGTAAAAGTATGAAGGTGGGGGGATCTGTCAATTTTAGCCCTGCGGTAAAAAAATATTGATTAGAGGCTATTAGTTAGCTATCCAATCAGTGCTCAACATTTTTTAAAACTAAGCCGCTAAAGTAAGGAGAGTATATATCATTGATTATTAACGTTCCTATACTTTCATTAAATCCCTGTATAATCATTAATTTTTAAGTTATATAAATATACTTAAATAATTTTCAATCTTTAACTAACATATTTTTAATTAGGTAAACAAATGTGATTTTTTTTTATTGTATGAGACAGTAATTGTTTCTACAATAATATCATGTTTTTAAAACCCATGTAATGTTTAAAATATTCACTCATGATCACCTTTTCCCATTTATGCCCAATACACATGCAGCTAATGAAGTAGAGTTTATCTGTTTCAAAGATCTCTATATACAGTGAAATAGTGTGGTCAGCGCCATTCCCAGTCGCCTTTTCATAACATGAGTTAGGTACCCATCAGAGTTGGGTTGACTTAGAGACATCTTGCAGTCTGAACCGGGTTAGCCTAGGAATGCAAAACATTGACCACTTACCTTCTACTTCACAGCCACTGATTCAAGAGGACCACTTGTTAAAACCTGTCCAGTTCTATGACGTTTCCCCTTGGACAGAAGAAGGGAGACTAATATCCCAAAAGTTTCACCAGACCCTGTGTGTTCCACATTATTGTATTGTCAGGGTTTTTAAAATCCATAACCCAGTTCTATGGCAGCAGTATGTGCAGTAAGTCTGAATATTTAAACAGAAAGTTTATTTATAGCTTGAACTATGTCTTACAATGTACCACAATTTTAGCCAATATTAGTTGTTACCCCGTACCATTCTATTATCATCTTATCACAAAAAGACAAAATTACCATTAAAGTAAAGTTTCCCTTTCAAACCTGACGGTCTATGGGGCAAGTGAAGTAGAGTTCACTTGTTTCTGTGACCTCGGCATATGAAGAGATAGTGTGGTCAGCACTATGAAAACCGCCTTTACTTTCCCTAACGTGAGTTAGGTACCCATCAGAGTTGGGTGGACTTAGGGACGGTCTACTGACTTGAACCCGGATTCGAACTCGAGACTAACGGGTTAGCAGTCCAGCTCTCTACCACTAGACCACTCCGTCCCATAAAAATTACCATACTAAGCTACAAAACTTTCGAATTATGTTTAGTTTTACTGTTTATATTTCGTACTAAAGCATCATTTTAAATTATCAGAAGAAAATATCAACTATTTTATGAACTTGGTGGAATGGCAGCTGCGGAACAAAGGTTGTTCCATGGGACGTATCAAGCCAACCTTACGGGTATTGCCACAAAAGGGTTTGACTGGAAATCTGGCAAGAAACATGGCAAGCTGCTAGGTTACGGTAAGCTGGTTATTTCCTGGATCATGGTATCATATAGAATTATCATAAACTGATATCTTTGCTTTTGTACATTCATTTATTTCTTAGAAAACCTTAAAAGCCTATAAACTCCTTGAAGCATAGCATATTTTACAAGTTCTCGGATTAAAGTGAAATTTGTTAAAATTTCATAATAACAATACAATTATTAGGGCTTAATAGTATCTTGTTTAGTAGCTTTATAGAATCTTTATACTGCATTGTGAAACATATCATTCAAGTATGAAAGCTTACACAAAGAAGTATAGTCTATAAAAATGTATTTAAATTTTTATGTTCCAAAATTTACCAGGCACCTACTTTGCAAAAGATGCTCGCTGCGCACACGAGTTCACAGACTGTGGTGGCAACTACTGCAGCGCCAGGTGGGATGATCCTTGCTGTAAAAAACTGGACACAGGAAGCAGTTTGTGCCAGCAGTTCCAGCCACTAATGGTCAGCAACTTGCCCGGCACAGAAAAATCTCCTCACCCCAATTGTAATCAGCCCTTATCAACCAACTCTCATGACCATGATATAGTAAATTGCAAGGTCCAGAACACTCACTTTATGATCATTGCTAGAGTTATGATTGGCCGATACTGTAAAGGCTGGAATGAAATGCCACGCCCCCCATCCTTTGAGGATGATAGTCCATATTTCAAAATGTTTGACACGTCTGTCGACAATGTAGAGTCGCCTCAACGTTTCTGTATTTTTGAGAATCACCAAGCATATCCTGAGTTTATAATAGAGTACAGAACCAACAGTTGATATAGATGTTAATGTCAGCTATTCTAGGGTCTCTTCTTGTGTAATGTCTTAGAATACATGATGTAGTATTGTCTGCCTGTTATCTTAGGCAGGCTGTTGTAGCACTAAATGTTAAGACACCTGCTAGAATATTTGTCTCATGGTTTCTGCACATCAAAGTATTTGCTCATTATTTCAAATAAGTATTTTATATTCAAGCATCATTTGCTAACATGCCAAGTTTAGGGACAGCATTAGACAATAAGTTGGATCACATCATTTCTAACCTTAAAGTCTTAACTTCATTTCCAGGTTTGAGTCCATAGGATGTCACAGTCCAATTTGATACCTGATTTGATGTTAAGTAAAATTGACTGGGCTTAATGTTAACCACAATCTATTTACCGGGGTCATAGAAATGTGTAAGATCTATCTTCCTTTTTTGATTGTGAGATCTAAAACTTTGCTTTAATTTTTTTTTTTTTTGGTTTAGTGCATGTGTACTAAATATGTACTAATCTTATGGAAATAAGTTGTTGGAAGTTTAAACAAAATTTCTCACATTTTTAGCACTTGATTAACCATAATTTTTACTACTTTAATCCTTCAAATTGTGATAAAATTATATATTGTATTATACAAACCAGTACATTTTAAACTTATTTACATTTTATAACTTTACCCATGGATTATTTCTCTTAGTTTATCAGTATGACGAAACTTTGGCAGCCATTGACAAAAGGGTTAATGTGGTTTTAAAAGTAAAGGTTTACTCATTAACTTACATTTCACATACACATTAACAATTTTTGTTTCTACATGTTAAAGCTTCTATATAAAGTAATAACTTACAGTGAAATCAAGAGATTGCTAACAGTACTCAGAAACAATTCACTAAACAAAATATGTTTATTTTTTAAAAGTTACTTTGCCTGTAACTTGAGTGAACACACATGTTTAAAATGCAACAATTTTTTATTTAAAAAATGTTTTTGTTAAACCAAGAAATTTTAAATTCATATCAGTATTAGATCAACACTTAAAACTTACAAACCAAAACCCTCTAGGAATAATCCATGCAGGAACCCTTTTCATGCTAGTTTAGAGGTTTGATGTGGCCAGAAAAAAATTTGCTAAACCAATGCATGCCAATTATATTCACTTATGACACTCTTGTTTTTTAGAGGGTGAGCCGGCTATTGCTTTTTCTTGCCAAGATGTTGCATTTGTGTTGCTGTTTTTACACAAAGCTTGTAATTTTTTTACTTTTACTTATTGTTTGACACATTATTGTTATTTTTGAGCTTCTTTTAACCAAATTTTAAAACTTGCACTGCCTTTGTCTATGCTATATATCTATTGTCATATTGGTCAAATATCTATACTTGGTGGGTCTATTATCAATTCTCAAAATAGGCATATATTAAGATTTTACTATTCTATATCTGTTTCTTTATTTGGGCAAGGGTCTAGATTTTATGGTACGAGTGAAAATTTGTATAAGATCAGTGGAGTGTTTGTTTTTTTATATTAAGATCACCTAATGTTATTGTTGACAATGTACACAGTGTTTGATTTTAATTTAATATTTTCTAATGGTGCTGGTATATTTACAAAATGTACACAAATTGTTTGATGTTTTTAGACCTAGACACAGGTTAGATAACTTTTGTTATTTACATAAATTCACACAGTACATAAGTTGGATAACTTTTGTTATTTACATAAATTCACACAGTACACAAGCTGGATAAAAATTATTATTTACATAGTTTCATACAGTACATAAGTTGGATAACTTTTGTTATTTACATAGATTGAGGCAGCACACAATTTAGATAACTTTTTTGGTTAACTGTGTTTTATTTCATATTTTTGTGAATGAAAGACAACATTATTTTTTTAGCAATATCAAGAGTTAATTCCAATCAGTTTTTAGCTAACAGATATTCTAATATCATGAGAGGGTATCTTAATTTCCTGGTGATTTGAAGTGAATTGTTTACCTGTGTTTCATGTTGTATATTTGAGATTATGGAAGCTTAGCACCTGTGATCAACTGTGTATATTTTATCTTTATATTTTTTCAATTATTTATTTCACATAATGGCTGTGGCTGAGAGTGGTATATACATGACTGACAAAGGAAATATGGATAGATGTAGATAACTAGCAGGATAAATACTTTATGTAAACAGGTGAACTTTTAGTTGACACTGCAGAAAGTTTTTGTATTTTTTCTTTCTTTACTGTGATGGTGAGATATACCTATTTGTTACAAATTTAAGCCAAAAAATTTTTGTTAGCTTGTTGATAAAAGCATTTAGAGACTTAAGTCAAACATAATTTTCTTCAAACATCACTTTAATCATACAGTTGTAACTAAGTCTATTAATACCTAGGCATGGTTAAGTAAACACACGCTTGTATATAGGTCACTCACATTGTTTAAATAGTGTGTTGTTGTTTTTTAACTTAAAACCTGTGCTGTATTAGCTGAAACCTTACATATCATCAAGAGACGGAGTGGTCTAGCGGTAGAGAGCTAGACTGCTAACCCGTAAGTCTCGAGTTCGAATCCGGATTCAAGTCAGTAGACCCTCCATGAGTCCACCCAACTCTGACGGGTACCTAACTCAGGTTAGGGAAATTAAAAGCAACTGGGCATAGTGCTGACCACACTATCTCTTCATATGCTGAGGTCACAGAAACAAGTGAACTCTACTTCATTTGCCCCATAGACCATCAGGTTTGAAAGGGAACTTTACTACTTACTTTACTTACATATCATCAAACTATTAGTTTTACACCATGCAAACACTAAGGTACAAAATACATATTACAAACATACCTCTCTACAGTAATATAACAAATAATTAAATTATGCTAATTTCATGGCAGCTTTTTAAACACATTTTTAACGAGCATCTTATTTTATGCTTCTGTTGTCACAATATTCTTATATATTTAAAACAGAAATTGAATTAATATTTGTAAAATGAAAACATTTTTTTCTGTTATTGTAGGATTATTTAATAAGCATAAACCAAAAATCTCAACAGGTTATATATGGAGGATCATATGATTGTTGCTCAACCTTTTATGAATTGTTTAGCATATTAAAATGTTATTATGTGTTTATAGGTAAGATAGATTTTTGCCTTAAGATAAAGCTATTTACATATGTTCATATGTTGCTAGGCAGCACATATTTACTTTACAGGGGTAATACAAAGATAATACAAAGATAATCAAAGTTGTTTTTGTGTGCTTTTTGTTTTTGATACATTTGTGCCCAAACTATTATATTATGTTTTGTTCTCTGTACATTCGTGCCCACAGTATTGTTTGTGCTTTGTTCTCTGCACATTTGTCCCCACAGTATTGTTTGTGTTTTGGAGACAAGCGAGTTGACGAGATTCCTTCCATAGTATTGTTGACAGGGAATAAAAACGTGCTTTTTAGATTTAGACCGTAAAAAAAAAATTAAAAAAAAAAACTTAAGCCTAAAATTAATTTAGAAATTTTATATTTTTAGAATAAATGCTATAAAAGTTGTAAATCCAGAGAACTTGAAAATAATTTGTTGAGTTTAAGGCTACATTTCTATTTATTTTTATCAAGCCTAAGTTATAACCGGATGTTTCACTTTCGTAAGACAAATATTGATTGGCTGTACAGTAACTTAGTGATCGATAACTATTTGTTTACAAAACTTTGCAGATCAAGTTTTTAAATAACAATGCAAATTTAAAACCCCATGACTTAGTTTTCTATTTTTAGCTTACAATGTGTACAATAAAATTAATGTCGGCCTATCCAATAGCAGGATGCCATTGTTTATGTCGCCATTACACGTGAAAACCAAATTGTTTTTGCTTTTTTTTTAATTTTTATTTAGTTACCGAAAATATTATAAACATCAAATACATCCAATCTTTAGTAAAGTCCGAAAAAAACCAGACAGGCAGGATTTTATAACCATATTAATTGTAACTACGCTGTGCATGATTTTTAAATGAATTTATACACCTCTCAAATACCTTTGAGACTTTTCTCGCTGGTGTCCAATGTGCCCACATATTTCCGATTCTATCTTATGTGTTTCAAGCTACTAGTGATGTGTGTCTTGTTTATGCTGCCGGTTTTATATGTAGGCTACATGTGGTATGTCTTGTTTAAAAGCTTAGGATGAAATTCGTGCACATTTTCGGCTGAAAAAGACAAGCAAACATCGGCATACTTTTGATATGCGTGAGTAGAAACGTGACCCCAATATTAAGGTCAAGTACGGTAACTGTTTTCATTGATAGGCCAAGAATAGCCATTATGTAGGAAGAGTAAGTGTTGCGCATGTGCGAGTGTCAGACTTCCGGTTACGTTGTGTGGAGAAGACAATAAGTACTTCCTGACAAACGATACCTTTGTATGAAGCGTAAGGGCGGGGGCGAGAATCTGATTTTTTGTCAGGGGAGCTAGTCTCTAGTAGGCTAATTGTCGTCACATACTCACACCATACGTGGTGTGTTAGATAATGGTGTTTGCCTAACTCTGCTAATTTACCGGGATGTTCAAAACACCAGTATCGTGACAAGGCTGACTGCACCGGGTGACACCATCCAAGGGGTTAACAACACCAAAACGAAAAATGGCAAATTTTTAATGGGAAAGTCTGCTTTCCAGCAAGTTTAATAGCTAGCTAAGAGTGGCGTGAATAGGTCGAGTCTCACCCGGTACAATAAGTGAGGGTTTCACCAGAGTTTCTTCCAGGCACCTCTTCGGGGGGGGGGGGGGGGGGGGGGGCGGTGAAGAAAGTCTACCGCCCACCCCCCGGATACTTTAGTCCACACCCCCCCCACACACACACACCCGGAGAAAAAAGTCTGAAAGAAACACTCCCCAACACCTATAAACGATTTTGCATTTTCGGGTTAGTATCACCTTTCTTCTACTATTTAATTATTTTAACTGGATAAAACATTATTTTGACAGTAAATTTAGTGATTTTTTAAATTCAGTGTCAACAGGTGTCACCCCCAGCCAATTAGCAGAGGCGTAGCTAGGGGGGGGCGGGGGGGGGCGGCCGCCCCGGGCGCCGACCCTATGGGGGCGCCAAAAGGGGTGGGAAAATTTTTTTAAAGCTGATTTTATGCTGCAGTTTTGAATTATAAACTGTCTAAGTTAAGAAACGTAATGGCTACACGCATTTACATACTGATTTAACTGTTTTCTATCTTGATTTCTTAATGTAAAACATATACTCTTAAGAAACAGTGACCGGCAAAACCGCTTTGAAGCTTTTCCTAGATGGGGGGGGGGGGCGCTTTTTCGAGACTTAAAACGGAAGAATTTACACTAGATTGTTGAGTCGATAAACGTTACCACTATTAAAAGAAACCAATTGTATTAAAACGTATTGTACGATTGTTGAACTGTAAAATACGTTAGTGACTTTTATCAAGATGGTGCAGGGGGGCGCTTTTAGGCTAAATAAAATAGCAAAATTACACAGGATTCTGAGTAAACAACCTTTAGCTCTCAGAAAGAAACGAATTGTACTGTGCATTGTATAATTGTGTAACATTTTTTTTTTTAAAAAGTTAGTTACGTTAAAAACCGCTCTACAAACTTTGTCCAAGATGGTTGTGATGAGTGTGTGTGGGGGTGGGGGGGGGCGCTTTTTTCGCTAACAAAAATCGCAAGTATTTGTACTGGATTGGTGAGTATATAACTCTCTTAACACTTAGTAAAGAAACCAAGTGTATTAACGCGTAATGTACAATTTCAATAGCCAGTTTTGTTAAAAAAAAAAGACGCGACTAGTTCTTTGTAAGATTCTTACGATTCTCTCAACTTCAACGTGAGAGATCAGATACTTTTGATCAGTGTTTCTTCCAGACTTTTTTCTCCAGGGGGGCACTTGAAATCTTCGGGGGGAGGGGGGAGGCGGTAAACTTTCTTCGGGGGGGGGGGGGCGGACACTGTTAAAAGTATATATTTTCTATATATAAATTATATAAATTTCATTTGGTTCGGGGGGGGGGGGGCGTAAAAATTTTTCCGGGGGGCTTCGCCCCCCGAAAAGATGCCTGGAAGAAACTGTGTGCGAGAAGGCAGGGCAAATCTGCGAAATCCAAGACTACGAGCTGTTAACATCCGTTGGATTCCAGTTTGTTTTCTTTAGCTTATTTTGTCATACCATCAACCAATCAACGAAATACCCATGTCGTATTCCAATGTGAACAATAAATATTTCTGATAACTTCTTCTTGTATGTCACTTGTGTGTCCTTACTCTAACAAACTTCGAATCCAACTATGTACCATATCACAACAGAGATCGTTCAAAACTAGAACATAAAAGGCTGGTCTAAACATATTAGCGTTAGCTACAAACTACCCTCTAACACAGATCAGGCTTATTTTTTTTACTGACATTACTAATCTTTCGCAAAAAAAGTTAAACGCATCTTAATGGGAATTAAATTGTCGTAAAGTTTTAAGGAATGAAAATCATACAATGTAATTATTAAACCTTGTCCGGACTGTAGCATACACGCTTACACACACGCTTACACACACAAATACACTCTTACCCACACACAAGCTTATATATAAACACACTATCACACACACATAATTATACACACACACACACACACACATACATATATATATATATATATATATATATATATATATATATATATATATATATATATATATATATATAAGCGGGGGGGGGGGGGGGCGCCAAATTGAAAGTTCGCCCCGGGCGCCGGGAAGGGTCGCTACGCCTCTGCCAATTAGTTATACATTTCATCAGATGTGCTATCTTCGTGTATAACAGCCTCAACATACCCAGTATTTAGTTATACATTTCATCAGATGTGCTATATTCGTGTATAACAGCTACAACATACCCAGCCAATTAGTAAAAAGTTTCATCAGATGTGCTTAAATACAGAACGATTTGTAAGATTTATAAAAACCAATTTTGTTCTTAAAAAAAAAAAGCACTATATATTTTTGCGTCTCCGTCCTGCGTGTCACCTAGATGAACCAAATTATTAATAAACAAGCCTGGGAACCGCGAGCTCCCGAGTCAGTAAATTATTCAACGGTTTTACAAATGCCCACTAAACCTGACATGCCAGTCGATCTTGACATGACCACTTGACATGACCACCGACAGTCCAACACTAACCTCTGGGGAAAAACAGCAACATTGCTTTAGTGTATGTCCAACAGCGCCCAGTGAAATCAAACTTCTCAGCGCAACTTAGTCGCTACACTTGCTGTGTGAGAGGTTTTCTTCTAATCTTCCAGAGCTTTTTACACCTCCCAGCTTCCACAGCTGGTGATGTCAATATGAAAGTCGTGAGAAAATTGTAATCCAGCGTCGGATTTAATGAGGGGTGGGGTAAGGGCAGGGATGGGACGGGGGGGGGGGGTCCTGGGTTATTTAGAAATCCCATTGACGTCATTTGGTAAACTATTCAACAAAGTTAGTGTAAATCCTGTACATTTAAGACAGGAAATTTAGTATTTTGTGATGAGAAGTTATGACGAAAATACTTCATGTCGCTAAGATAAGCACCGGAATCAGTAAATCTTTCCGCGAACTGGGGGCTGTGCGATCAGCTGGCCATCTTGAAACTGGCCGTTAATTAATTAAGCTTAATGAATAACCTAATTTGAAACGAGGCTGAAGAGTTTGTTTCCGGTCGCGAGCACGTCCACTTCCGTTAATCGTTTGGTGAGGGGCAGGGGTGTGGGAGGTGGTGGCGGAGGTCTTATAAGGAAGGTCAAGGAACCGGAGGTCTTGTCTGGAAGGTCTTGGTAAGACATGCCTGGAATTGGATCTTCTGGAAGGTCTTAAATTGGGGTTCTGTATGGGAGGTGTGGAATATGAGGTTCTGTATGGGAGGTGTGGAATATGAGGTTCTGTATGGGAGGTGTGGAATATGAGGTTCTGTATGGGAGGTGTGGAATATGAGGTTCTGTATGGGAGGTGTGGAATATGAGGTTCTGTATGGGAGGTGTGGAATATGAGGTTCTGTATGGGAGGTGTGGAATATGAGGTTCTGTATGGGAGGTGTGGAATATGAGGTTCTGTATGGGAGGTGTGGAATATGAGGTTCTGTATGGGAGGTGTGGAATATGAGGTTCTGTATGGGAGGTGTGGAATATGAGGTTCTGTATGGGAGGTGTGGAATATGAGGTCTTATTTGGGAAGTTATGAACGGAAGGTCTTGTTGTGCCAATTTGTAACGGGTCATGTGTGTTAGGTCTGTCTTCAAATATAACTCGCATGGTGGGTCTGGTATATGAGTTTTATATTTTCATGCATAAAAAAAAATACTGTATGAAAAGTCTTCAGGTGTCCAAATAAAAGTGTTCAATGCATGCATGTATACACAGGTGTATGTTCTCTTTGATGCAGGACCAAAAATTATGTTAAAGCTAAATTAAACCACCAATTTGCCTGAGTACCTAAGACCATTGAAGTGCAACATCCAGTGCGTGTATAGACTTGTGAGCAGACGTTCTTAGTGTCAGCCTATTTAAATACGGTTTTCCTTTTCTGACTTATCGAATTTTTAAATGTGGAGGTCTCTAGCTCGATATTTAATGACTTTCGTCATGTGGTTTTTTAATTCGATGATTTTGTTATGTCATATCTAAATACGACATTTGTTTTTATCATTACATGTTAATACAGTTGTTTTTGTCCCACTTTGAAATTCATTACGAGCTTTCTTGTTAGACTTATTATTAGCTGATGTGGGTTGTTTTTTTTCCTTTACTTTATTGTTTTTTTTAATAGGTAAATAGAGCCGCTATTATCTAGCTACGTCATGTCAGAAACAAGAGGGCTGGTAGCTAGCACGTGCGGTGGGATAACCGTTTGACGTCATCACTCGTTGCTTTGTTATTTCCGCCAGGGTCAGCCTGCTCTTTGTAGTTCGCGCATGTCTCAAAGACTTCATTCATGTCGTGGTGGTGAGTGTAGGCGTGCAATTAGAGCGCTCATCTTGAGTGGTGTTGGCGAGTTATGTGGGGGGGGGGGGGGGCAGGCTTCCCTTGGCCTGGAACTGGACTGAGCCGATGGCATATAAACAGGAGCCTGGCCGAGAACTTGGTTAATTGGTACCTGAAACGTCTCTCGCGAGAGATAAGTTTTCCCAAGTTGATGTCATTCAGCAAGTTTGTTCTTGACTACTTGGTTTTTTTAGTCATTTGTTTAGTGTGTCATTGCATTCCGTCATTTAGAAAATTTCCGACTATAAACCGCTTAAAAGAAAAACGGATTATAATTTTTTTTCAATGTGTTAAGTTGAATTTGTTGTGAAAGTAAAGTTGTGATTTATTATTTAAAACACAAGAGTTTTAATTTGTATTTTCAAATCTTAAAAAAAAAATATTTGTATAAGCGTGTTCTAGTGGAATTTCATACAAGATGGATGGACATTCAGTCAGGATTAAAATGATGAGTTGGTTTTCTGTGTTTTGTCCTGTTGTCCTGCTTCTGATCACGTTCAATCTCGTCCGCGCCAAACAGGACAATATTCAACGAGATCTTCAAGCTCTTTCATCCTCTCTGCCTGGGTGCTACAGTAATTTGAACCAATACCACAGACATGCGCAGAGGGGACTTCCGTCACACAAACGAAGTTTCCTTATCAAATCCGAGTTGTACCGAATCTCATCCCCGATGTTTAACGATTCTCTCACCGTCTATTTTCAAGACTTCACCAAATCTTCCACTTCGCCGTTCCGGCTAGGCTTCTACAGCTTTGCTTTCGACTCGAAAATGAAACTCTTTCGCATGCGAACGTACAAACTGAGCGAGGATCTAATCCAACTGAGCGTCAGCCAAAAGCCAAGCGACTTTGTGTTAAACCCTAACGTGATAACAGAATCCCTGCACAGGCACGGGTTAGGGTTAACCGACCTGCAGGCTTACAGTGCCTGCGATATGTTCTGGAAAAGGATAGCTAAAGACACGTTCGTTGGCATAACCGGACCTCAGTGCCTTGGGTCTTTAGGCAAAGATCAAGTAAGTGTATTGAGTACAGTACCTATGGTCTTAAGGGAAAGGTTCTTTAAGCCATTAGAGTACAGTTATTCTGGCACTAATGTAGTTTTTCTATCTTGTTTACCTGCAAACCCTGATTTGCCAAAAACACGAAATTATTGGGGATTTTGAACCTACCACCATAACTTACACTTTTAAACACACCAATCATATCTAATGTATTGCAGCTTCGCGTTTATTAGCTTTGGAAATTTTTCACATTTTCTTTCGAATATAAACTATGCAACCTACGTAAATAAATTAGATAGGGGTGGGGGGATTCGGTGATGAAATAAAAAGCGCTTTTCTTGTTAAAAACTAAAATATTGATAAACTTTAATGAACAGGGCAACCTTTATATATAAAACCCTGATCTTTGAAAGAATTTTTTGTTACTTGGAACTTTTCTGACTTTTAAAATATGCCTAATATTAATATTTTTACCTTTCCAGGTTAGGATCGGCGTGTCCATGACCTTGAGTGAAGGCAAACTGCTGCTGACCGAGGGCTGGTACAATGTCAAGGATGGCAGCAGCATCTCGGAGTACAAGGTGCCCTACGTCTTGAACAAGCTGAGATCCCCTGAGCTGCTCCAGAAGGACGCTTCACCGCCCGCCGACAACCTTCCGCCTGCCTCGCAACCACAGCGGGAGAAAAAAGTAGTCCTGACCCCTAAATCTCTGGTAACCCGCCGCGACAGAAACCCCACCCGGACTCGCGGTGAACCCTACAACCCCCCGGCCGAACCCCGCGTTCTGCGGACGTTTCGGCAGGTGGCCTCGGCATTAATGACCGGATATGACGTCAGATACCGGGTGGAGCTGGGCGCGTGTGCCCTACCCAACCATGTCTCGATCGATCGGCTCTCGTTCGGGGGTCAGGTCAAGGAATTTGTCTTCGTGAGACGGGATGGGGCGGCCAACAGCAGGTCGGACTACGTCCATTTCACCAGTGCCACGATGGCTATGGGATCTCAAGGTAAGAAATAGAAGATGGACATTATAACTGGGCGAATGGCATGGTAAAGGTTAGGTCACCAGAGGTGGGAGGGTGGGGGGAGGGAGTGACTGGCAGTACAGGATAACTTGTGGGGTCAAGTAATAAACAACCCTGGGTTTTTAAAACTTCCTAAAATTGTGCTTACGCTTGCGACATGTATAGGCCTACTATACATTTCTAGAAAGAAAAAAAAATGGCAATAAGTAGGCCTATACACTTTCCGTAGAGAAAATGTTTTCATAGAATATTAACTTATAGCGATTTTTGTTCATGTGTAAACACGGTGCATGAACCCAACGATGGGAAAACCTACCTGTATCAAGATGATACACGCCACGGTTGAGGCGTATTTGTACATAATCCTGTACATAATCCTGTACATAGTCATGTAATCCTCCCACCACTGTACAATATTGTGTGTCGTCAAATATCAACTTATGATAAAGAGAAATTTTTTAAAAAACATGCATAAAACATTCCTATCAAGAAACATTTTAATGCACTACAAATAAAATAAACAACACTTTTTTTCTTTATTATGAGAATACAAACAGTAAAAATATTTTTAAACTTATTTGATTTGACCGTGAAATTTGTTTAATTGCATATGTTACAAACATGTTTTATTGCATGTGAATGTTTTGTTTTTAAAAATGTTTTATTTTTGTAGGACTGGAGACCATCAATCGTGACGTCACAATATTTCGCGGAGGACGAGTGAATGTTAAGGTGACGAAGAGCTCGTCAGATCACACCGATCTGAGGAGGGAGTACGTGTTTGAGTGCCGGCTCTTTGACGACAGACGAGGGTGAGTAACTTGTCCTGGTTCTCATCGGGGGGGGGGGGGGGGGGGGACTAGACCGATACACATTCATGAAGTAGTTTTTCATATCAGTATAACACGTTAGACTTGAATAAATAAGTGCCCCGCGTTTCAACTTGTGATTGATCTAATAATGGATCAACCGTTTTAACTATTAATTGTTTCAATAAACTACGTGTCATATTGAAAGAGTGCACGTTTATTTAATTAAATCACAGCGATAAAAGCTATAAAATGGTAAAAATTCTATTGAGTCGAAACATGTATCTTTAAAGATGCTAGCAAAAGCGTTCACGTTTCTTTTAGACATAGACAACATTCATCGTCTAAATTCTATCACACTGCGTCCTTCTTCCATCAATCTTCAATCTACTTACGTTCATATTTCTTTATAAATCTTAAATCATCTACCGTCCATAGACTTTATAAAACTGCCACCATCTACCGTCCATATGACTTTATAAAACTGCCACCATCTAACGTCCATATTATTATGACGTTTTAAAACTGCCACCATCAAAACGTCCAAACTCCACTGCTCATCCACCACTTTCTACCACCCACCAAAGTTTGGCAGCCCCCTTACAATATGTCTGGTACGTCTGTCAGGTACGGTGCCGTGAAGATAACGACCCACCCGGGGGTCAAGCCCCAGAGACTGACCAGTGCCAAGTCCATGTTGTCATCTCTTGGCCAGGGTCGTGACCTGCGGGTCGTCACTGACCTCACTCGGTGTCAAGGTCAGCAGAGGAAGATCGCCATCATTTTCGGCAGCCACATTACAGGTGAGTCGCTGGTAGCCACATTACAGGTGAGTGGCTGGTAGCCACATTACAGGTGAGTCGCTGGTAGCCACATTACTGGTGAGTCGCTGGTAGCCACATTACAGGTGAGTCGCTGGTAGCCACATTACTGGTGAGTCGCTGGTAGCCACATTACAGGTGAGTCGCTGGTAGCCACATTACAGGTGAGTCGTTGGTAGCCACATTACAGGTGAGTCGCTGGTAGCCACATTACAGGTGAGTCGCTGGTAGCCACATTACAGGTGAGTCGATGGCAGCCACATTACAGGTGAGTGGCTGGTAGCCACATTACAGGTGAGTGGCTGGTAGCCACATTACAGGTGAGTCGCTGGTAGCCACATAACACTAGTGACAGGTGAGTCGCTGGTAGCCACATTACAGGTGAGTCGCTGGTAGCCACATTACAGGTGAGTGGCTGGTAGCCACATTACAGGTGAGTCGCTGGTAGCCACATAACACTAGTGACAGGTGAGTCGCTGGTAGCCACATTACAGGTAGTCGCTGGTAGCCACATTACAGGTGAGTCGCTGGTAGCCACATTACAGGTGAGTCGCTGGTAGCCACATTACAGGTGAGTCGCTGGTAGCCACATTACAGGTGAGTCGCTGGTAGCCACATTACAGGTGAGTCGCTGATAGCCATATTACAGGTGAGTCGATTGTCAACTGGGTCCTCTTTAAACTCTTGCCGTGGTTTTGCCGACCATTTTGGTGGAGGGATGGGGATTGCAATTAGTGCTGAAATAAATGTTCGGGTAATTATATTGAGAATTGTTATGTGTCTCTTAAAACAACTTGATGTAATGGACATTTTTAAAATAATAAAAATATTTTTTAAAATATATGGTTTCCCCATTCTATTTTTGCTAAGGCTATTTATTATACAGCTGAAATTTCTCTTGCTTCGACCGATAGAGTTACCAATACTTATTAACCCCATATGGCAAAATGTAGGTGATCATACATGTTACCAGTTAAGGTTTTAAGTTTAGCATCCAGATACGTTTTAAGAAAAATGTATTGTTTTAGATTGGGTTAACGCCCTTGAATAATCTCAAACTACTGTAACCACAACAAAGAATATGTAAACAAAAACATCTCGCGGTCTTTCACTATTTATATCAAATGTTAATTCTCACTTCTGATCCACAGAATATGATTTCAACAACCATGATAGAACAATTGAGGTCCACATTCCCCTGCCCAGGCCCTCTGAGTACCAGAGGCTGGCGGGCGACGGGTTCATGGGGCAGTTCATGGCCAACGGGGACGTGGCCTTAATCAAAATGGGTGACCTTCGACCCGTGCCCATTGACCAATGGCAAGTCGGCCCTGCCTTCCACTGCAGAATGACGTCACGAAGCGAGCTGGAGACGAATGACGAGAACGAGGCAAGCGTGGGTGTGTTTTACCGGAAATAAAACGAAAAGGAGTCTGTAGGAGCGATAGTGAGCGTCTAGGGTGCGGGGGAGGGGTGGGGGAGTGAGCTCTGCTGTTTATTAATAGGCCTTTCAGAATACTAGACTTTTTTTTAAGGCGGATGGTGAGGGGGGGGGGGGTCGGTAGGGAAACTGCAAACATCCATTGCTCCACTAAAAATCACAACTTATCTTTGATGGAGGGGGGTGGTAAGTGTGAGTGAAACCGACCTGATTTGTTTAGATATCCTAATGGGGAAAAAAGGGAGGGGGTGGGAGGGGGGGAGTTCAGGGGTCAAGAAAATTAATTAATTTAAATTTTTATAATTTATAAAAATAAAGGATGTTATAATGAAACTTCTATAACTGTAACTGGTAAAAACATCTGTGATTACTCTAACGTTGATTCCAAGGCAGTACAATATAACAACTGATGAGTACTATAGTACTATCAAAACCATAACGCATCAAGTAATATACAACCTTTAGTTCAGCAAAGATCAAGAGTTCATTTAATAAAGGGAGGCCACAGCACTATTAAAAGTAGAAACTTTGTTTTCATGATTACTTCCCGTGTTTTGCTTATGCATTAAAATTATTTGATACGTTAACCGGTGCTAATGTTTATTCCTTTTTTATTTGTCTTGCTTTAAAAAGAGCTTTTGTGATACATGTCAAGATTAAAAGAGATACAATTATGTGTTGTTGTTTTTTTAATTTGTAAATACTGAACTGTTAAATTATTGTCTCTTTTGTGTTAAACCTAACTACATGTATATTTTGTATTCAAAAATGTATTTATTAATTATTTATTAATGTACTGTACATTTTAAATTACAATACAGAACAAAAAATGTTATTTATTTATTTATTTATTTCATTAAACTGAACTTTTCTGTTGGTGTGATTCACAGTCATTCATGTCATTCCGAATTCCTATGTATGTATGGGGTATGTTGTAAAAATAAGCTGTTACATTCCCTGTTATTTTAATGTATATATATAGGCCTATATGATGATAACTTTTTATTCATTAGATTATGTTGAAAAAGATTGTAATGACTAAATTAAAATGTTATTATTTCAAGCAATTAATCATTTGTTGCTTGTTTGTGTTGTTCAATGTTATAAAGGATTCTGGGGGTTGCATAAGGTCATCTTTGGTTAAGTGATCTCATAATATAGTTATCAATAGCATACCAGGCCATCATCTAAGTATTGGGCCATTTATCCCAGAACACCATCTAAGTATGGGAAGATCTTATCCCAGAACAACATCTTTAGTAGTGGGCCACTTTATCCCAGACGGCCAACATAACCATCTCCGTGTAGACCACCATTACCATCTCCATGTAGACCACCATTACCATCTCCGTGTAGACCACCATTACCATCTCCATGTAGACCACCATTACCATCTCCATGTAGACCACCATTACCATCTCCATGTAGACCACCATTACCATCTCCATGTAGACCACCATTACCATCTCCGTGTAGACCACCATTACCATCTCCGTGTAGACCACCATTACCATCTCCATGTAGACCACCATTACCATCTCCGTGTAGACCACCATTACCATCTCCATGTAGACCACCATTACCATCTCCGTGTAGACTACCATTACCATCTCCATGTAGACCACCATTACCATCTCCATGTAGACCACCATTACCATCTCCATGTAGACCACATTACCATCTCCATGTAGACCACATTACAATCTCCGTGTATATAACTCCGAGTAGACCACCATTACCATCTCCGTGTAGACCCCATTACCATCTCCGTGTAGACCACCATTACCATCTCTGTGTAGACCACCATTACCATCTCCATGTAGACCACATTACCATCTCCATGTAGACCACATTACAATCTCCGTGTATATAACTCCGAGTAGACCACCATTACCATCTGCGTGTAGACCACCATTACCATCTCCGTGTAGACCACCATTACCATCTCTGTGTAGACCACCATTACCATCTCCGTGTAGACCACCATTACCATCTCCGTGTAGACCACCATTACCATCTCCGTGTAGACCACATTACCATCTCCGTGTATATAACTCCGAGTAGACCACCATTACCATCTCCATGTAGACCACCATTACCATCTCCGTGTAGACCACCATTACCATCTCCGTGTAGACCACCATTACCATCTCCGAGTAGACCACCATTAACATCTCCGTGTAAACCACCATTACCATCTCTGTGTAGACCACCATTACCATCTCCGTGTAGACCACTATTACCATCTCCGTGTAGACCACTATTACCATCTAAGCCGCAAGCCACCTAAAAACAACACCAGTGGCTGTATAATCTTTGACGATTAATCACAAAGGGACTTAATCCATTCTTCTTATCATACGTAACTCTTGTAAGAATATAGATCTAATTAACCGCGCTGGTTTAAGTGTGGACTAGCTCTGCCTGCTTCAGATACATCAGAAAATATTGTTGGTTTATGGGATCCAAAAGATTTTTTTTAAATGTCAAGACATTAGCGGCCTAAAATGGTTTAGCTCAGTTTTACCTGGGCAAGCTGTACCGTTATATTTTTTCCCCCAGTGCGCAGTGCACGTCAGGGCCGACAACTAGTGTGGGACTCCACAGCTGTGACCCGAGAGGATGGCTGAACACACAGACGGCAAGGATGTGACGTGGCCTTTCTCTCGCTGTGCTCGAATTCTGTTACCGCTCGGTGTAAATTGGAGGATGTGGGTTTTTTTTCTATATCTTTGTGGGGGTTTAAAATGTAGTATAGCTGCTGTCTTTTAAAAGAATACATTTTGTTATTTTTGTCTGTTTTGTGAGATAGCAGAAACTACTGTTAAACAAGAATTTTGGGTGTGAGGGAAAAAAATAGAACCAAATAAGTTAGAGGCCATTTTAAAAATAAATAGGCCTACTACGCAGACTTTAAAACCAGATGAAGCAGGAGAAGTAGAGTTCATCTGTTTCTTTGACCCCGCCAAATAAACGATTTGCTTAACCCTACTTGTATCATTCGACCAATCACAGTTGAGTGAACTGCAGCCATACAGGTAGCATTTATCGGCTCTTACTTTCGACCACGCCTCGCATTGTTAGAGGTGTGGAGACAGCCATATTGTTAGGACGTGGATAAACTGTAACACGTGATGGATCATCTCTCTTGATCCACATTTATCTGCATACAACAATGCGATTTCCCTGCTCCACCAATCCACACTCCACAATTTTCTAGATATACCAACTCACAATTTTGTTTGGTCCACCAATCCACGTTTTTTTAATCCCCACATCCACATTTGTATTAATCCACCAAGCCACGTATTCTTGATCCACCAATCTAAACTCTCCTTCTATTCACCAATCAAAGCTTTCCTTCTAATCACCAATCAAAACTTGACTTCTATCCACCAATCTATAATTTTTGACCCACCAATCCAGATATTTCTAGACCCACCGATTCTTGTCATTCACATTTCGTTTAATCCACATTTCTCATCCGAATGTTGTATCGAGACCATCTTTTGCCTACCCCTGAGGCCACGCGAATATTTGACTGACAAAGTTACAGGAAGATTTCGATCAGGTTGAGGTGAGGTGGGGGGGGGGGGGGTCGTCACATGACTAGGATAAACGGAAAGAGCCAGCCTGATTAGCATAAGCCGAGATGTGCAGTAGATGCACGATCAAATCTACACAAGTCTGAAGGGTGGGGGGGGGGGAAGTCCGCTAGCTGAAATGGTGGTTTGTGTGGTGTCTTGAATGGTGAGTTGTGGTATATGAAATGGTGGGTTGTGGTATATGAAATGGTGGGTTGTGGTATATGAAATGATGAGTTGTGGTATATGAAATGGTGGGTTGTGGTATATGAAATGGTGGTCTGTGTGGTGTCTTGAATGGTGAGTTGTGGTATATGAAATGGTGGGTTGTGGTATATGAAATGGTGAGTTGTGGTATATGAAATGGTGGTTTGTGTGGTGTCCTGAATGGTGAGTTGTGGTATATGAAATGGTGGGTTGTGGTATATGAAATGGTGGGTTGTGGTATATGAAATGGTGGGTTGTGGTATATGAAATGGTGGTCTGTGTGGTGTCTTGAATGGTGAGTTGTGGTATATGAAATGGTGGGTTGTGGTATATGAAATGGTGGGTTGTGGTATATGAAATGGTGGTTTGTGTGCTGTCTTGAATGGTGGGTTGTGGTATATGAAATTGTGGGTTGTGGTATATGAAATGGTAGTTAGTGGTACATGAAATTGTGGTTTGTGGTAAATGAAATAGTGGGTTGTGGTATATAATATGGAGGATTGTGGTTTATGGAAAGGTGAGTTGTGGTATATGAAATGGTGAGTTGAGGTGTTTGAAATGGTGGGTTGTGATATCTAAAATGGTGGGTTGTGGTTTCTGAAATGATGGGTTGTGGTATGTGAAATAGTGGGATGTGATATCTAAAATGGTGGGGTGTGGTTTCTGAAATGATGGGTTGTGGTATGTGAAATGGTGGATTGTCTAATGTAGTATATGCAATGTTGAGTTATTGTGGTATTTGAAATGATTAGATGTGGAATTGAATAACTTTTTGTCGTTCCTTGCATAAAATATGTTAGTATATTTTTCTGTAGATGTCTTTTCATTAATATTCTTTAAAATAAATTGATTTTTGAAAGGATAACGTGTTTGATCTAGTGAATAAAATACAAGCTAAAGGAGATGAAGCAGGAGACGTGACCTAGCCACTCGCAGCGCCAATCTATCGTCACTGCTCGGCGGTGTGACTGCGCGCTGTCACAGCAAGCCTCGCAAAGGGCCACAGATCTGGCTGTTTGAAAAGTTTGGGGACGAATACAGAAGCAACAGGCCTTAGCACTGGAGCTTGTGGATTCACTCTTGGTTAGTTCAGATGCTCGCTCTCTCCTTTTCTCGTTTATAGCGAAACTTAGATTTTTTTGTTTTAATTTTTAAAATAGTTTAATTAAATTTATTATTTTAACATTTATTATTGCTGCTGTAAGCATACACGTAGGAGTATTGTAGAGATAGTTTTGTTTTTATTACATAATTTTAATTAATTGTTATCATAGCCACATATGTTAGGTAATAAATATTTAAAAAACTGCATTTAATGTCATATTTTAATGACATTATATGTAGGTTTCATAAAGCGCTCTTGGTAAATTATTTCTTCCTAAATCATAGCATACTTAAAGTTTGTGACTTAAATTTCTTAACGGCCAAAACCTTTGGGCACTTAATTAGTTTCTCCGTCACCATATGGTTAGTTGTTCTCTGGTGTTATATCTGTGACGTAGCTGGATTATCCGAGTTTTCAGTCAGGATTTGGTTTAATTTCATTCTTACCCTTGGTAAGTTGGTTGAGTTTTTTTACTTCAGGTGGATGGGTTGTTTTTTTTTTTAATTCACGAAGCACACCATATGTTTTGATTGCCTGTGCAGAAAAATATAGCTGTATATATACATTACAAATGTAAGCCTTCTCCTAAATCTAATACCAATCACTAACAATAATTGTAAAATATGTAGATCGTGTTGATATTTTCTTTCAAGCTGCAACTGAAAAAACAAACTAATTAGTGTTTGAATGATTTCTTTCCCCTGCTATTTGAGACGGAGTTACTGCCCCTATATTACACGAGTTCTTCACTTTTTTTTTACCGGCTCGGCTGAATAGAAAGTGCGTGTCTTTTAGAGTTATAGTTTCATAAGATGGGCCAGTGTCTTAATATAATGGATGGTGGGGGGGGGGTGGTATTTGGGTAGAAAGTTGCGCACCTTGATGCGCAGGCTAATGGATGCAGCTTATGTAGACACGCTTGTTGATACAGCAGTTGTATCCGTGTGTTAGCATGTCATTAGTGGCTCGTGCTATATGGCACTATGTATGTCATTAGTGGCCCGTGTTGTATGGCACTATGTATGTCATTAGTGGCCCGTGTTGTATGGCACTATGTATGTCATTAGTGGCCCGTGCTATATGGCACTATGTATGTCATTAGTGACCCGTGCTATATGGCACCATGTGTGTCATTAGTCGCTCGTCTTGTATGGCACTACGACCTATGTCATTAGTGGCCCGTGCTGTATGGCACTATGTATGTCATTAGTGGCCCGTGCTATATGGCACTATGTATGTCATTAGTGGCCCGTGCTGTATGGCACTATGTAAGTCATTAGTGGCTCGTGTTGTATGGCACCATGTATGTCATTAGTGGCCCTTGCTATATGGCACCATGTATGTCATTAGTCGCTCGTCTTGTATGGCACTACGACCTATGTCATTAGTGGCCCGTGCTGTATGGCACTATGTATGTCATTAGTGGCCCGTGCTATATGACACTATGTATGTCATTAGTCGCTCGTCTTGTATGGCACCATGTATGTCATTAGTGGCCCGTGTTATATGGCACTACGACCTATGTCATTAGTGGCTCATGGCATCACAACCTATGTCATTAGTGGCTGATGCTGTATGCTAAGACGAGCTGATGACACTACCTACTATGCCACCACGACCTGTGTCATTAGTGGCCCGTGTCTAAGAACTGACAACACCACCTACCATCATACAGCTATACCACCACAACACCACCTACCATCATACAACTATGCCACCACAACACCACCTACCATCATACAACTATACCACCACAACACCACCTACCATCATACAACTATGCCACCACAACACCACCTACCATCATACAACTATACCACCACAACACCACCTACCATCATACAACTATACCACCACAACACTACCTACCATCATACAACTATACCACCACAACACTACCTACCATCATACAACTATGCCACCAAAACACCACCTACCATCATACAACTATACCACCACAACACCACCTACCATCATACAACTATGCCACCACAACACCACCTACCATCATACAACCACGACGACCTGGACTCTACCTGTCCGTCAGGTAAAGCCGTGGTCTCACCTACAGGTTGGGGTCAGCCACACGCCCCCAGTGTCCCCGTGCTCTAGTTTATTAACCTGTGTAGTCCCGTAAGTAGTATAGTAGGTCCCCTTTGGGTATTATTTGTGCAGACATGTTTATATAGTAAAATATTGAGCAGCCAGAGCAGACATGTTATATAGTAAAATACTCCAGCTGGAGCAGGTGTTCCCCTCCTCCTATTGTCTTCCGTGACGCTCCTTTACGGCCGCGACGACAAACAATAGAGTATCGATTTTTTTTTTTTTGAAAGATATGTTTAAATAGTCATTAAAAATAATTTATTCAGCTAGGCTTGCTTTACAATAGGCCATATTTCTCATACAGTTGATCTATAAATAGCCGTTACTATTTACTATCAGTCTGTTTTTGTCCTGTTTTTTGTCTAGTCGTGTTAATTATGTTAAGTGTGATTGCTTTATTTGTTGTGGCTGTTTGCTTTGTTGGTTTTTAATATTTACATATGTTGTAATCACAACGTTTTCAATGTTTTTTTATTTTATTTTATTTATTTTTTAACCACCTTTTAAATTTAAGGTTCTATAACCAGCATTTTGACGACCACTTATATATAGTTAAATACATTTTGTTTATATTTTTATAATTTTCTAAAAAAATATTAATATAGAAGATCAACATATTTTTTTTTTTCTTTCTGTGATCTCGGCATATGAAGTGATAGTGTGTTCATCACTATGTCCAACCGCCTTACTTTCCCTAACGTAAGTTAGGTACCCATCAGAGTTGGGTAGACTCGGGGACAGTCTACTGTCTTTGAACCTGGATTCGAACTCAGGACTTTTGGGTTAGCAGTCGTAAGTTCTACCACGCTGCCCCCTTCATTCATGACTATATAAGTTCCTATTGATTTGGTCAGAATAATTGTCAGGGGCACAGTTATCTCTTTACTAAATAAAACTAATATAGAAACGAAGGCAGAGTCGAATTTTTCTAGAACAGTCTTGTTAACAACCACGAGTAGCGTCCCGTAAATTTAGGATCCCAATGGTTTAACATAGAAATGCCACTAAACACCCTTGGTGATGTCTTTGTAAACGAAAAGTCCGTTAAGTTTCAAATCTCAAGTTTTGTAAACGTCTTTGTTTAAGTATTTACATTGTTTTATGTAGGTTCAGAAGTATTTCATAGCGACAATGGAACAGTGTCCGTGCGCGTTTGTTTACATTTAAAAATACATGTCGCGTGCTTTGCGCGCGTCTCTCGACGTTTTAAGTTTTCCTAGTGTTTTTAAAACAGCGATTTCTTTCTAAAATAGTGACCAGGGTCAGACATCAAAGAGTATATTAATCAATTATCATTAACAATTTAAAAAGTAATTTAGGATGTCAATGGTTTAACATAGAAATTACACTAAATACCCTTGGTTATGTCTTTGATTTTGTAAACAAAAAGTCGATTATGTTTCAAATCTCAAGTTTTGTAAACTTCTTTGTTTAAGTGTTTACATTGTTTTAAGTAGGTTCAGAACTAGGTTTATTTTATTAACATAAAAGTTTTGTCTTAATTAAAAATAATTGTCAGACTAAATAGCTAATTAAAATGATCAATAGCAGTTTGGTTTAATAAGTAATATATGTGTTACACCAGCGTTAATCTTAGAAAAATATTTTGATTGTTATGATTATAATTGTTTTTTTTTTTTCCAATTGTCTTATTAATACTCGGCCTTATGATTTGTGAGATAATGACCAGCATGGTATATATTATATTTATATACACTGTTATTATTTTTTTAAAGTCATCACTACCCCACTGAAACCTCTTAAAATAAGACCATTTTCCTATGATCAAAATTTTAGCTCAAATCAGTGAGAAATAAATCGGGTCTAGCATATATATATATTTTTTTTTTTTTTTTTTGAGACTCACATATACACATACATATACATACACACACACACACACAAATGAAACTAAAATCAAATCACAACAAGTCTTGTTTAATTTTATTAATTTTATTTTCCCTAAGCCGATAAAATACTATGGTATAATATTTACAAGCTTGCAAAACATACACGCGTCATTCACTCTATGTATTTTTTAAGTGCAACGAAGGCACGAGACCGCCTTTTATTGTGTGCCGTGAGCACAATACCCATTGTATGGGTATCTGAGCATAGGGCAATAGCTATACCCCAACGCACATGGGCGGTTAGATAATAAGCGAGGTAGCTTTTCCGCGGAGCAAGCTGTGAAACAGGTGAAATAAAGAAAGTCGCTTTTTTTTTTTTGTATTTTATGTCTCAATCAGGGTGGCGCGATATTTTTTTTTTTCTCTTTGTATCCGTGTTGTAAACAAAATGAGGAGGAGAAAGGGTAGTGACCTACCCTCCCACCCGTGTGTTCCATGATGGCAAACACAATTTTAAATGTGTATTTGTTAGGTTTTAGTAGCGATACATCTTCTACTTGTTTCTTCCTTGTGACATCATTAGCAGGGGAGACGATTCGTTTCCGCGGAGCGAGTCGTGCGTCATTTAAAGACATCAAATAGGGTAATGTTACACAAGACAAGCTTTTGGTACTCTGTTGAAATTAATTAAAGGGAGAAAACCCTAAAAAATATTTACTAACGTCCCTCTGGTGTAATCTTTACAAGCTAACAAAACATACGCCGTCATTCACTCTACGCATTTTTTTTTTTTAAAGTGCTACGAAAGCACGCGGCTACCTTCCATTGTGTACCGTGACCACAATACCCATTGTATGGGTATCTGCGCATAGGACAATGAATCAAACAGACTGTGTCGGAAAAATACTTCCACACAACACCCTTCTCTCGAAGAAGACAATTTATTTTTAACTTCACGTTGAGTAATTTTATTTTTTTTTTAAATTTTTAAAAAGTGTTTTTGGTACGTTTTAGTAGCGAGA